CTGTTTTCTGTGTGCAGGGAAATGCGTTTGAGTAGAGGAGCTGTTAAGTCATGCAGACTGCCTAGCCGTGGTCTGGCATGGAGAGAGCCCGAGTGTAGTTCCATCCTTTCAGGCTATTGGAGTGCCAGGCAATGCCTCGTTCCTTCCCAAAACTGTCGACTCCATCCTTGTCCCCTCTGGGTTACGAGGGCTCACCTCCGCCAGGTAGACTCTGGTCCTGCTCTGTGGAAACCCATGCCCTCGTCTGCATTAGCTCTGTGGGGGTGGTCTTTGCTATAGACCTAGCACTGTGGTTCCACGAGAGCTTGGCAGTCCGGATGGCTCTTTGCTAGCACCATGGGGGTTAACCTTCAGAGTCCCTTTCTGGAAGCCTTTTGTCGGGGGACTTAAGGGCAGAGGTTGCCTCCAGTGGCTTGAGTCGAGTTCGCAGCTGTAAGTGAAATAGGATCTCCATGGGTTTGCATGGATGCCCTAAGAGCAACCTTGCAGTTCCTGCTTGAGCTGTTCTCTTGGCGGCGGAATGAAGGCGGGGAGGGGGGAGGGAGCGCAGGCAGCACTCCTTGTGTAACCAGACGCGGCCTCTGGAGAGCCCAGGTTCCATGCCACGTGGGAGTTTCTTTGCTTTACAAGGAGGCCTCAAAGGGGTTTTGTGGAGCACCCTTTGGAATCACGACTGGCAGCAGCGTTCAGAGGAGATGCTTCGCGGAAGTTCCTCGGGCTGACAGCTGTGCCCGTGTGACCACCTCCACCCACCGGTGGCTTGTGGGGTGGAGGGGGGGATGCACTCCCAGCCACAGGGCTTCCTTTGTATTCCTCTCCATTTCGAAAGATCTGAATTCCCTGGATACGTGCTCTTAAGGCACAATGAAATCAGGAGAAGCCGATATGGGAGCAGCTGTCGTTGCCTGGTGATCTGGGAACATGCAATTCAGGGCTTTAAAGATTCACACCAATCAGCGGTGGTGTTGGTGGCCTGGGAGAATGTAGTGGTTCAGGAGGAAGCAACAGGGTGGGTCTGGGGAGGAGGCATGTGTGGGAGCCAAGTTGGTGCCTGTGTATCGGTGGAACCCTAACCATCAAGTGCACCTTGCTGAGAGTTCCTCTTCCAGATTTGCTTCTTGCGTCTGCATTTCAGACTTAGTACTCAACCCATTCTGCATTTAGCAATCTGGTTGGGTTTTGTTTTGTTTTGTTTATTGTGCAATCAGTCAAGGGTTCTGTGAAGAAAACAGTCCCTTCCACTTTCTCCCACAGGATCAAGGGGTCCCTGTTGCATTTCCAGGTTTCTGTTACTGATCTAAAGCAGGTGGGTGCCACCTTTCAGTCCTCACAAGCACACCCACTGCCCGGAGTGGAACCCACAATTTGCTGCTGCAAAGGGTACTGCTTCCAGGATTTTTTTGCATGTGTTTTTAAGTAATTCTTTCCTCAGGAAGTCTTTGCAACTGGTGCTGTGGGGTAACGGACACCTCAGATTTTCAGACTTCTCGGGTGATGCCCTACCTGCCAAATGGCAAATTAGTCAGTGCAGGAGCTTCCAGTGCAGTTGGCCTTGGCTGCCATTGCGTGAGGGTAGGGGAGTTTACAGTTTGGCACCCAGATGGTTTTGAAGCCCTCTCTTGGGAATCCTTTCTGCATCAGCTCATCTGGCGAAGGACACCTGCTTATTTGCCAGAGATTCCCTCTGTCTTAAAGAAAGTTCTGGAGCAGATGCCATGGCACATAAGTAGGTCAACTCGTATTAATTTGTGTAGCTGAGGAGTGCGGCTTGGAACACACCTGAAGCTTTTCCTGCTGTCATATATCATGGGGGAAGGTACCTTGCTCTTCAAGGCATTTGAAAGCTGCTTGTGCTACCACAACTTTTCCCATGTCCCCAGTTTGGGGCCATATTTGTCTGCCCCCTACTATTGAGAAGGGACCAATTTCAGAGCTTGTGGCATCTTAAAGGTGATGTGGTGGCAGAAATGTCCGCAGAAGAGCGGCTCAATTAGATGTATCTGAAAGGAAGGGGGTTCTGACCACATTGAAGTTCTCGGTCTTTGCCATGCCAGAAAAGCATGGGAATTGCTCCCAGAGTTATCCTCCTGAGTACTCGAATCAGCATCCAAATGGACACACGGGCCAAGGATGTGGTGGGCTGTGATGGTCTCTGTAGGAATTTTGCTCCCTCTCGAAGCTCTCACTTCCTTTGAGGGATTAGGATTACAGAAACGGCTATCTTCGGCAGGGGTGAGGGACCTATTAGACTAGTCCAGCCCCAGAGGCTTCTGCAGGGCTCTAGGGAATCTTCCAGCAAGTATAAGTGGTGCTCTTGTTGAATGTTACATTATTGTGGGATGCAGGGATGATTCAAGTGGTCGACATAATCACACTCGACGGCCCTCGTCTTCTGAGCGGAGCCCATTTGGTTGCACGGGGAGGGCGATGAAACAGGTTGGCATGTGGCCAGAGGCAGCTCTAAAGCAAGTCAGCGCTCTTTCTCCAGCCTGCTTTTGGGCAGGTGCAAAGATGCCCTTTTTCTCCGGTACCTTCGCATCCTCACTGTGTCTCCCAGTAGAGCTTTTCCGGGAAGGCCGGGGTCTTTTGGTACCTGGCCCAGGAGGAGACCTGATCTTTCAGAATCCTCCGCAGCACGTCGCGACGTGTGTGCGAGATGCGTTGATGACCCAACGGCTCGTCCCTGCCATGATTTGGCCTCGACTTGCTTGCTTTCTCATCGTGGCTGTTCGCTTCCTCAGTTTCCAGTGTTGCATCTTTATCATCTCCCCTGCGTTTTGATCCCTTTACAAGCCCGATCCAAAGTTCCGGGCTTGCTCAGCTTCACGGCTTGAGATCTCATTACCTAAAACATCACCTCTTCCTGCTGGTACATTCCTGTGATAATCCAAGGCCCTTACCTGAGGGCCCCCTGCCAGGTGAAGCAGAGCAGGTGGCCAAACATGAAGGGGCCTTTTCAGCAGTGTCCCATTCCCCCCACCAGGCTGTGGAATCCCCCCCGTGAGCGATTCTCCCAGTTCCCACGTTTGAAACCTAGAAATAGCTATGCCAGATCCGACCAAAGGCTGATTTCGTCCAGCACTCCATTGGTCAGTGTGGAAAATGGGATGCCCACTTAGAGGGGCCCGAATTAAGGTCAGCCGTGCCCTCTGGCATCACCGTCCCAGCCATTTCTTTGTCAGGCTCCCCTTTGGCTGCTTACTTTGCAGAGCTCTGCATCAGCTTGCCGCCCCACCGGATTCCCCCGGGATCCCTCACGTTATTCCGTGGGGATAATTCCACAGGCACTGCTGGAATGCTCCCCCTGCAGCCGCTGCCCAATGAAGCAGTTGAGTAATGCACTCAGGAGCGAAGATTAGATCTGATCCATCTTTCCTCAGTGCTTACTGTGTTCCGTTTTCATCCTTGCTTACCCAGCTCGGACGTAAATTATAAATGAGGGATGCAACGTTTGCTTCTGCTCCTCTTGGGTACCTTTTGGAACAGTGGCTCAGCTGCTGCAGCGGACCCAGGAGAGCAAGACGCCAGCGCGTCCTTGAAGAGCGAGCCAAGTGTGGGGCACGGCTCCAGAGGAGGACGCTTTCCCAGGCCTGCCTGCATTCTCGGCCTCTGCAGGCTCTCGGCAAAAGCGCTGCTCTGGGGTGCAGGCAGTAGCTTCTTGGCATTCCAGCTTGCATGATTCAGTGAGCTGGGAGACTGGCAAAGAGAAGACTCGCCTGGCGGGTCAGCCTACCACTTTTTCAGCCCGGGGCAGTTACCCCTCCACAATCACTAAAAAAAGCCAGAAAAAATACAGAGCATGGTACGAAGCGGTCTTCCAGCAGCTTGCGTCCTCTCCGCTCTGTGCAAGTCATCTACCTGTTGCTGGCAATCCTGCCCCCTCCCGTCCCAGCCGCGCTGCCGCTGCTTGTGCATGGGGGCAACAGTGGCCAGGAGACTGCGATAAGCAGGGTTGGGTAGATGCCCTGGCATTTCTTTAGAGGATGTAGTGTCGGCTGCCGATTTGAAATAAGCACTAAACGTGGTATCTCTTGAATTCCTGGTCGTTCTGTGTCCTCATTTTTTCTCCCGGGCTGTCTGCAAATAAGATCCTGTGTCCTTTGGTCAGCTTGTAGCTTTGTGAGGCTGAGCTGGAAACAGCCGTTCTGAAATTTAATCTGCTAAGGGATGCTTGCTGTGGGCCAGGAAGCAGCCAGCCTTTCAAAAGCGCTACTCCCTTCTGGGAGCATCCTGGATTGTACCTTGGCGAGGGTTTTGGTGTTGGTGTTTCTGCTGGTGGGCACTGACTAAGCCACAAAAGCGCAGGCAGCTTTGTGCTTGGGGGGTGGGGGGAGGTTCTGCAGCATGATGGCAAGCTGGCCTGTGTCTGCTTCAAGGGCCTCCAGAATCAAAAATTCAGTGTTCCAGGTACAGGTTCCAGGTACACATGATGCAGGCAAAGCCAGTGAAGCCAGTGTGGAACAGTCGTTAAGGTTCCCTGGCCCATGCCATTCTCTGGGAGACTTTGGGCGTAGGCTAAGCAACCTCACAGGGTTCTTGTGAGGGTCTGATGGAGAAGACGAGGCCCACACCTTGGACTCCTTGCAAGAGGAGAAAAGCAGGATTCTAACTGAAACGATGCAATAAAAAAGCTTGCAGACGGGTGTGCTTCATGACGGTGTCAAACGGCAGCGGTTTAAGCCCCGGTTAGCAAATCCTGCCACTCTTGCCTCAGATGGAGCATGGGAAGGGGTGGGGGTTCGTTGCATGGAAATGCTTAGACATCCAGAAACCGCAACCTCCTTTCTCTTTCACTGTCTCCTCAGCCGGCCTTGGGACATCCGGAGTCCAAGCCCAGCACAAAGTCCAACATGCTGCGAGGCCGCACCCCAGCTACCTCCGCCGACGAGCAGCCGCATATCGGGAACTACCGCCTGTTGAAGACAATTGGCAAGGGCAACTTTGCCAAGGTCAAGTTGGCACGGCATGTTTTAACAGGGAAAGAGGTGAGACAATCCTGGGGGAAGCCACAGGGTGCTTGGTGGGGCAGGCACCCCCCAGGGCAAGGCTGGTGGGGCCAGAAGAGAGTCTCATTACCAAACGAATGTGGGCCGAGCTGTGTGGATCCAAGGCTTTGAAAAGCGAGTCAGACCCATTGCTCGCCCAAGACGCTTGATGGTGCGATCGGAATCAGCAGTGTGAGCGCAGTCCATTTTTACACACTTCCTTTGGGTGGTGGTTCTCGTGCAGCGGATGTGCACAGCACCGGAAGCCTCAGGAGCCCAGTCCTGCCTTTGGGGTCCCTCCGAAGACCCCACCCCGTCTCCCCACCCACTGCCTTCTTGGCAATTTCCTCCCCACCCCCATTCTAAAAGCTTGGATAGCTCTTCGAAGGCCTAGTTCCTGGGAGGAAGAGCTTTGAACAAAAATCCCCTGGTATTTTGGCCCCACCACCCTTGCCTCTCCACCTCTTGCCGGAACGCACCCCTCGAAAGCTTCTTGAAAATGGCGCCTTAGAGGTTTTAGGCTTCCCAAGGGGTGGGAGGTGTGGTGTGTCAGTGGAAAGGCCAGCTTGAGACCGGAAGAAGGGGCAAGGCGTGGCACGTGTCTGCAGGAGCATCGTGACCTTGATGGCTGCTGGCTTGCCTTTACAAGCGATCCCACGAGCATCTTTGCAGCACCAAGAAAATGCAAGGTTTCCAGGTTCACGCATCCTGCGTGGTGATAATGGGCGTCCTTTTGAAGGTTGAAAGAAATTCCCTTCTCAATTGTTAGGTGAGTAGCAGTAGCCTCGTTTTATGGATCACAAAATGGGGGAGTGGATGAGACTGAGAAGCGATGGCTTGACCGACCCTCCCAGTGATGGTGGCGATCAATCCCCAGACAGCGTGTGACGTGGGGCAGGTCACGCATTTCCCTCACAAACAGAGAAGCCGATTGCTGAGCTGAGTTCTGGAGCGCCGTCCCTCTCGCCCTCGGCTGCCGCCCTGCCGCGGGGTTCGCTGCATAGCAATTCACGTAAAGCAGCCCTTGGTGGGCGAGTCTTTGATGAGTCCATTAATAGCTCTTCATAGTGGGGTGGGAAGAGCTGAGCTGGGCTGTCCTGGACAGGGACTTCATTCACAGGGTCTCCTTAAGTCGGAAACGACTTGGCCACCCATGACAACTTCCAAGTTGCAAGGGCTCTGGGCAGGTGAGCTTCATCGGCCTCGATCTGGCAAGCACCTTGAGCGAGCGAGCGGACGGTGGATGGTGCTGCTTGGAGAGTCAGCCCCCGTCGCTCCAGGCTTCAAGCCTGTGGGTTTCCTGGACTGGGTCTGAGGAACAGTAACTGGCACAGAGGGTGAGGGAACCCCATCGCCTAGTCCAGCTAGAAATCTCCTTGGAGTTCCTGGCAGTGAAGCTAGAATACTGCATCGTATTGTTGTTTTCTTTAATACTGGCTTGCTTGGATTAGTTGCAGTTTTTAAAAAAAAAATCCATGCACAACATTTCAGCAGTTTATGGCAGCATTACACTGCTGGAAAGGAACCCCTTTCTCTCAGGGCATTTAAGTGCATGCCCAAGACAAGGATCTTACCTCCCAAAGATGTGTGGAGATGTGTGGTGGTGAAGCCGCACTGGTGTCATTGCGCCAGAGACGTTTGTATTGATTTTCAGCTAGAGGCCTCAGCGTGCTGCGTCCACGCGTTTGCCCGCCCTTCTGCTGGAGACGCGCTTCGAGCGCAGCGTGGCTGCCGGAATGGAGGGCGCCCTGGGCAAGGTGCCCTCCACGCCCCCCCCCAACACCTCCCAGGTCACTCCCATCCTTCCCCCTCCTCTCCCTGCGACCTTACCATGAGGTTTGGAATTATTTTTACGTTTATGCTTTTTTTAAAATGGCCATTTCTGGGCAAGTGAAGATGGGTCGCTGGAGGGGCCCATGTGGCAGCATGGGTCTTGCCGTGTACCCCATGCCGAAAGTGGGGGAGATGTGGGAGCTGCGACCCACAGTGCCAGCCCTGACAGGCTGTGCCAAGTCCCAGCACTGAGTCTGTTTGCAGCAGTGCCAGCCTCCTTTCCCTGCCCCCCCCATGCCATGCTGTCCCCCAGACGGGAGGCAGCCCTCCAAAGCCCAGCCTTGCCACTGCGTGCCCTTATCTCCCCACACCCCCTCCCTCCCTCTCCCATGCTGATCCTGAGCAGCAAGCGCACGGTTTGAAAAAACGCCAACTCCCACATTGGCAACACCTGCCAAGAGCCCTTTCCCGGTGCCCTCTTTACCGTCCCCCCAACCAGGCGGTGGCTGGCAGTGGCACCATCGTGCCCCGGCCCCATTTCAGATGTCTTCCGATCGAGCTGGACGGAGAGCGGAGAATCTGCAGCCCCCCCAGGTCGCGCGTGCTGCCCTTTCCGGGCCCTTTTGTTGCTTGCAGCCCGGTGAGGTTTGTCAGCCTCCGGGACACTCGTAAGCCTGCACAGCTGGACCGTGTGCCTCGCCAGTTTTTCAGTGAGGCTCCTTGAGGGACTTGGCCTGTGGCTGCTGAAGAGCAGGGCGGGCTTGGCCGAGCCCGGCTTGGCTGCTGTGCCCGTCCTTCCCCCTCAGAACACACAGCCACCCTCTCCTGCCCTGAGGTTTCTGGCAAGTGAGCACTACAGGGCTGGAAGGAGCCCCGTCTCCTCGGCCCGAGTCTTCGTGCAGGACGTGTGGTGAGGGAAGGCCAGTGCTGCTCCGGCTGATGTGGCATTGTCAGCAGAAGAACCATGAGAAATCTAGAAGGATTTCAAGGAGCAGTAGAACGATTCCAGTGGGGGATCTGCTGCCTCGACTGAGCACCTGGCTCCGGGGTTTGCGCTGGAGCAAACCGGGGTGTAATTAGCTCTTCCCCGTTGTTCAGAGGCTGTAACTCTGCGGGCATGCCTGCTTCCCCTGCAAGACACCCCCAGCCCAGCCCAGCCCAGCCCAGCCCAGCCCCAGCATCACTAGGCAGGGCTGTGAAGGACCCCTGTCGGAAACGCTGGAGGGTCAGTGCAGGCAGCCTTCCCCAACCTGAAGCTCTCCTGGAGGCATTGGCCTTAATGGGAGTTGTAGTCCAGCAATGGCTGGAGGATGCCAGGTTGCGGGAGGCTGGGCTTGGCGGTGCAGAGTTGACCGGCCTGGAGTTTGGCGCACTGGGAGGCAACAGGCCACGCCACACTTGCCAGGGGAAGCCAAGAACTTTCGCAGGCCTGGGTTTTGTGGTGAACCATACCTAATCAGCTGACTTTGCCCAGATACTTTCACTGATTTGGTTGCGTCATAAACATTGGTGCAGGATTAGGATTGGGTGGAACAGGGCTAGAATTCCTCCGGCTCAGGGCGTGGGCGGCCCAGTGCTCCTCCTGCTGCCCGATGAGGGCCTCTGCTCTCTGCCATCCCTCCCTGCCAGTCGGCGGGAGAGGCAATTACCAGCTGTGTTCTGGTTGACTGGTGCTGCAGCTGGCCTGCTTCCATCTCTCATTTTGTGGGCTGTTGGCTGTGTTTTTCTTTAGAAGGGAAAAAAAGGGAAGGAAGGGAAGGGAACAGCCCCCACTGATCGCAATTATCTCAGGCTCGGGCTGCTTCTTACAACATGGGGGTGCACCCCCTGGTTGCCAGGAAGTCCCAGGCATTGCTTAGCCCAGCAGATTCTCTGCTGTCCGGCACTTTGGCTGTGAACAGGGATGCTTCTCCCTCACTGCAGAGGCCGGCAAGCGCCATGCAGTCCAGCATCAGGGGCAGCGGCAGGTTCCAGACCCTCACTCCCTTTCCGGCACGTGCGGGCAAGCTCCTCGGTGCGGCAGCCGCTTGGCGAGCCCCGGAGTGACGCCTGGGAGGCCAGGCTTCCGGCATTGTGCCTGCTAATTGCCCATCCCCGTGATGGCCTGTCTAGAGAGCAGTAGCCGCACAGGCAACCACTTAGCGAGTGCCGTAATGGGGAGCTTTTGAGCATCCACCCACTCAGGCGGTACGTCTCCCGGAGCGTCTTATTAGCACAGCGTCTGGGGAGACAGCGGCGTGTTGCCCCGCCAGCCTCTTTGCTCGGGCGGCTGCCTCGGGCGGGGAAGCAGGCGTGCGCCGCAGAGGGCTCCCCTCGCCGACGGAGCCGCTCTTCGCTCCAGCGCGGAGTCACGGAGCTGTGAGCCCCTGCCAGACGTCGCGCCCTGCCCACCCCAAGCCCGTGTGGCGGAACCATCCGAAAGCCACCTTGGACTGAGCCGGGCACTCCATCCAGCTCAGTTCAGGCTGCTTGACGCTGACCGGCAGCCGCTCCTCGCCAGGCTTGCAGGCCGGAGTTCTTCCAGGCCCACCTGGGGATGCTGGGGACGCCACCCTTGCCACTCAGACGCAGCCTCGGGTGAGCCGCGGTTCTCCGCCACTCGGGGACGGTTGTACTCAAGGGCTGCTCTTGGCATTCTCAAGGTGGTCACATGTGTGGGAGCGCCGGGCGTCTTTGGGAGAAGGGTGAGGAGGGATTGCGGCGTGGTGGCTGGAGCGCTTGGACCAGGGCCCAAGAGAGCCAGGCTCGAATCCCAGTGGAGCCGCTGGCCCTCCTGAGGGGAGGGAGGGCAGCCTAGAAAAAGCCAGCAGCAGACCGAAGCAGGTACTGTCTATCCATGGGCCAGTTCCACGCGGCAGAGGAGGAGCTTGTGAGGGTTTGATCGGGCACCGACTCTAACAAGTCACAATAGCAGAAGATTTGCATGCTGCTGATATGAATGTTTATATATCGTTTGCTTACTATGGCATTGTCTTGCCTTTGCTCCAGTGATCCTTCAGCGAGTGCTCATGTCTCTTCCCTTCCCCTTTTATTTTCACGAAAACCCATTAAGGGTGATTAGCCTGAGAGTCGGCAACTGACCCAAAGCCACCCCATGCAACTTCATGGCCCAGCGGGGACCGCAACCCACATCTCCCAAGTCCTGGTCTGATCTTCTCCCAGAAAGTCACAGGACACTTTGCGTCCAGAAATGGTCTTTCTGAGGTGCATCATTTGAAAGCTTAAAAAAAAAAAAAAAATCGAAGCAAAGGATGTTTAAATGTGCTGGTGTCTTCTGCTGCCGAGCCCTCTCAATCGGCTGGCTCAGCATCAGGCTTCACTGGACAGGCAAGGCAACCGTAACCCTCTCTGTGTGTCCTTCCCTTCAGGTGGCTGTGAAAATAATCGACAAGACGCAGCTGAACTCCTCCAGCTTACAGAAGGTAAGGCGGGAGCAGGGGCGCTGCTTCCGTAACTTTGCCCAGAAAGCGCTGGTTGTACATTGCGTGGAGCACTGCGTTCATCTCCTCGTGCTCACCTTGCAAAGTGGCTCACTTCGTGCTGCAGGTCAGGCCCCCGAGAGCCCACACCTTGGAGCTCCGGGTAACGTCCTTCCTCTGGCAGACTCCCAGTCCCGGCATTGGTGACCCCGTTGGGATTCCCTCGCTCTCTTCCCAGCTGCCCCACCCGATGCAATGCAGCTTCTCCTGCCTCCAGCCCCTGTCCTCTTTGCACCAAGGCCTTGCTCTCTCCTCCCACCCCTTGCCTCCCACCCCTTTGCTGCAGAGCATTCTGCCTTGCCGCCCAGCCTGTTTTGCGGACTCTCCGAGCTCAGGACCACCAGCCTTGCGCCCGCGCCTTCCCGTGCCCGCTGTCCTTTCGATCCCAGGCCCCTCTGGAAAGACACTGACCCCGTTTGAGGCATGGGTAGAGCGTCTTTTCCACCTCCCCAGGTCGGGGGGAACCGCACGGCCCCGTACGGCGAAGCAGCACTGGCTGCCCGTTCCCTGCGGCCTCCTCTCCGCCTGCACTGCTCCTCAGCTCAGAGAGGCACCCGAGCCCTTCCTCTGCTCTGCTCCACCGGCATAATCCCCCAGCCTCACACCCAGTTGGCCGCGGTCTGCGGCTGGCCGCTGGCCCTCCCTGTCCCCACGGCAGCACATGACCCACCCACGGCCTGCTTGCCGCCCCTGCCAGAACCTGAAGCCTGGCCGCGGAACCCGTTGGACCGGGCTCTTCTCTGACGATGAGGCTCGTGCAACCAGCCAGCCCCACGTGGCAGCGGCTGACGCGGCCTCGTCAACAAAAGCCCGAGCGCGAGCGAGCCGGCTGGGGTTGTGTCGCTGCAGCAGCCCTCTGGCTCCGCGCAGAAGCGTGCCTCTCTGGGGCAGACGGCTGTACGTGCGGCTGCCCCAAGGGCCTGCGGGTGTTGCCCGCAGCATGGTGGTGGGGGAGGTGGGGCGGCCTCCCCTTTCCTTCGGGAGGCTGGCGGGGAGCGCCTCTCTCCAGCCTGGCTGGGTTCCGCTTCAGGAGCTGCTTGGCACCAGCCCCCCACTTCAGAGGGAAAAATGCCCAAGCAAACATCCCCCCCCATCTCTCAGTCCAAGACAGGAGAGAGATGCACATTACTGAGGGCTGTGGGACTGCAGCTTAAAAAGAAAATTGTTTCAACCTGTAAAATGGGAGACTTGTCAGTAGCAAGGTAGCCACCCGCACGTCGCCTCCGGACTGCTCCTCCTGCTGCTCCCACCGCAGGCGCCTCGGCCGTGTGGTCTCCTCTGCAAACGGCTGGAATGTTGCGGCAAAGACGACTCCTTCCCCGCACGCCTGAAGGCAGCTGCGGTGCCGCCCCCCCCTCGCTCGCATGCTGCCTGACCCCCCCCCCACCCCAGGATGATGGGTGGGGGGCTGGCCTGCACAGGGTGCTCGGAAGGGAGAACCGCTGCCCCACGGGCAGCTCCCGCTCGCCGCAGTGCAGGCTCGCTCGAAACAGCTCAGGCCTCTTCCTTGCCGGTGAGCAATCCACCCACGAGTGTCTCAGCCCCCACAGTGCTTCTCCAGAGGGAGGGAGGGAGGGAGGGAGGTGCCTTGAAAGGCACTGTTGGGGTGCTGGCACCGACATGCGGGGGGGGGAATTGGGAACAGAGCCAGCACCGGGAACGGGGGTGCCAAGGGATGCCCCTAGCAACAGACCTTCAGATGAGTGCAGGTATCTTTTCACATGAGGGCGAACTGGTAAAGTTGCAGTTGTTCTCATGGGGACAAGGCATGGGGGCCGGGGGGGGTTATGTTTGTGCCTCCCTCTGGCGCTGTAGTTGTGGGGCTGCCTCCTATCCTGGTTGTGTCTACCTGCTCATGGATGCAACCTTCAGACTTTTATCTGGGCCCTAGTTTTGTTGATTATTTAATAATAAAATTCATAATAAAATAGGGTATCGGGCGAGCCACGCTGGATCAGGCCAAGCATTCGTTTAGCCCAGAATTTTGTTTGCAGAGTAGCCAACTGGCCACCTTGGGAAACTCGCCGGGAGGACACGGGTGTCTCAGCGCCAGCCCGCCCCGGCTCCCGGCAGCTGGAGGACAAGGGCAGGCGGCCCCTGGGGCTGGAGGAAGTGCATCAGCACCAGTAGCCACGGAAGGCCAGATCGCAAGGGCATCTAGACCCCCTTGGGGGAGAATGGGCTTGCGGTTTCTTTGATGGGAGTGACGGCTCTCGTTTTTAATGGGGTCTGCGGAGGCCCTCGGCGCAGTCCTGGCGGTGCTTCAGCCAGTCTGCAAGGACCGTTCCGGCTAGGCCCGGGGCTCACGTGCCCAGCGACTCCAGGCAGAAGTCTTTTGGACTGCAGTTCCCATGAGACCAGCCTTGACCTGCGGTGGCCAGAAACCACCGTGCCTCCCCCTGAGCCGTGCTGCGATTGCGATGAGGGGCTTGAGGCGCCAGAGGCAGCCCCTGGGGGCGTCCCCGGCCATAGGGAGGCTGCTGAGCATTGGGTGCACGGTTCATGAATGGCGGCGGGGGGGCGGGGCGGGGCGGGGGCGGCATCTGGAAGAGCCATCTGCCTGGCCCCTGGGCCGAGGCAAGAGCGGAGCTCGCCGTCCTCCCCACTGCCGTGCCCCGGCAGCCGGGGGATTTGCCGGAGCAGCTGCCGCCGTGCCTGCGGAAGGGACAACGGCGGGTTTCCCCTCCTGCCTGAGCCCAGGCATCTGTTCCTTGTGCTAAAGAGATGCCGCTCCCGGGGGGGGGCGGGGGGGCTGTCTGCCTTTTAAGGGGCTGTGCGCCAAAAGCCAGGTGCCTTCCGGGCAGATCCTGTGCTTCTTCCCCCTGGCCTGGTGCTGGCGGGTTTGGGCCTGGCCCCCTCCTGGCTTGAGCCCAGGCTGCAGAGGTGGCGGGGTGTGCAGGCACAGCACCCCCCCACCCCCCACTATCCCGGGCTCACTTATTAACAGCTTATTACCCAGGCTCGTTACGGCAATCCGATTGCCTTTTTTAATTAACGGATTACTGTAATGCATTATCCTTAAAAAATGTCTAATCCAGTGAAAGCGAAGACCTGGTGCCCAGGCAGAGCGGGTTCTGGCCTGGCCCATGGTGTGGGCGAAGATCCCGCTAGGAAATTCACGGCACGAGTGTGGGGTGGGCTTTCCAGTGAGCCCCCCCCCCCACACACACACACAGCTACTTGCGGATCATTCGACCGCTCTCTGGTGCACCGCGAAGCAAAGCCCCAGCATCCTTGAGAAGAGCAGCCACAACCATCTGTGCCTCCGTGATGCCCCCCTCATTGACCCTTCTGTTTTCTTTCCTTTTTCCTCAGCTCTTCCGGGAAGTGCGAATAATGAAGGTTTTAAATCACCCCAACATAGGTGAGACCCCCTCCCACCCCAGTTCTGCTCCTGCTTGCTAGCAAATATCAGCCCTTCCCTGCTCTCTATGCAGCCTGGTGGGGGGCCGTGCGGGGTGGGGTGGTCTTCAAGAACTTGCCTCATTCTTCTCAGGTCGTGCCCTGCCCCTTGTCGTGCCCGGTGTGTCTTTCCCTGGAGGACTGCCGGGCGTCCCTGCAGTCGCTTTCTCCCAGCCAGGGCCCTCTTGTTGTGTTGGATTACAACACCCATCATCTCCACCAGCCTGGCCATTGCTGGAGATGCTGAGAGCGGTGGGCCAGCGCTTTTGCTGGGCCCTCAAGCTGGGGAAGGCCGCCCCCCTGCTTCAGCTCTCTGGTGCACTGCATTCTCTGTGCAGCCCAGCCAGCAGGCCCCCTCGGGGCGGCTTGGGTTCAAAATATTAAAGAGAATGACTTGCTGCGGAAGCCCTGAAGCTCACGGCCGCCGCCGCTCATCACGCAGCAGCGAATTCCCCAAATCAGCCGCACGCTAATGTGCAGGAGGGCCTTCTTTCATCTCCCCGAGTCCGACTGCCAGTCGGCTTCCTCGCTTGGAGGACGGGGCTGCAGCGCAATGTTTAGCCCTCACCTTTTAATTTGGATAATCCTCCACCACCTTTCCTGCCCTTCAGTCTCCCGCCTTCTTGCCTTGCAGTTAAATTATTTGAAGTTATAGAAACAGAGAAGACACTGTACCTCGTCATGGAGTATGCCAGTGGGGGTAAGTGTTCAGGAGAGCCTTCGAAAGACGGGTCGGGGGCCAACCAGCCTGGCTTGAGCAGGAGTGGGGAGCCGTCAGCCCCTGAGACCCTCGCTGGATACAGCCCCCGCCAGCACGGCCAGCTGTCTGGGTTGGTGGGAGTTAAAGTCCAGCAACATCCCACGGGCTACACATTTCCCGCCCTGGATTAAGAGCTAGATGGGGGCCAGGATTTGAGTCTCTCATTCAGGATTCCCGAGAAGCTCTCAGGATGAGCTTCCTTCAGTCACTTTCTTTCTCAGCCTGATCCCCCTCACAGTGTTTTTTGGAGGGTAAAACGGCGAGTGGGCCACCCCAGTCTCTTTGGAAGAAGGACCGGATATAAATATGAGAGACATCTGCCGATCCCTTGACTCTCCACCAGCTCTCCCCGTCCAATTTCAGAGGCACAAACAAGATTTGCAGAGGGTTACAAAGCAGGCAGGGCCCGGGAGGGAGGGAGGGAGGAACACGGCCAGCTACTTAGCCTGGCTTGTCCAGTAATTAAGGGGAGAGGCATACGCGGTTTACAGCTGATAATGATCCTGGTTGTATCATGCAGGTCCGATCAGTGGCCCGCCATAGCTGAGGGCTGTTTACAAGCACCGGGCAGCCCTCTCCATACTGGTCCCAGCTCGCTGCTGCTCCCTGGAATATCTGGCCATCAGCAAGACATGCCATCTGGGAGCTGAATGAAAAGCCACCCCCCCCCCCACCGATGTCACAAATGTCCTACAGGCCCCTCTCTGGACAGTATTTCTCTGGTGGGGGGCAGCATTGTCCCCCTGTCAGGAACCCCGCAGGACCCACACCCCTGGGGTAGCTGCAGCAGTGGGAGCAAGGTGGTGCTTTGGGAAGGAGATGAGCTGCACAGGGAGTGCTTGCCTAAAATGGGTGCGGGGGAGAAGATCTGGTTGCCACAGAAAATCCTGCAGGGGGTCCCACAAAAGCAGCTCTGGGGGTCCCTGCAGCCTGCCCGTTTCAGAAAATTCATACTTTCCTGTGCAGCTTACAATAAGTGATGTGAATAAGGAGTTTTAAACGGATACGCCAGGACTTCTTTTTCTCTCTCGCTCGCTCGCTCGCTCTCTCGGTGCCGTTTCTTCTTTTTTGTGTAACGCTCGACAACAGCTTCAGAGTCTTTTTGTTTTGTTTGTGGCGTCCGAATCTCTGGAGCCAGTCTTGCCAGTTACATCTGATTGTCATGGGATCTATTCGGAATTACAAAGGCCTTCAGAAACTCCTTAGCTGTTACTGATCGCTCCAAGACCACTGCAGCCAATGGAGAAAGCCCATCCTGTCCCAAATGCTCCCACCACCACCCCATGTCAAGGCGACACCCCAGCTCTCAAATAATCGGTTTGGTCTTCTTTTGCACCCCCTGCAGGTGAGGTGTTTGACTATTTAGTAGCCCATGGAAGAATGAAAGAAAAGGAAGCACGGGCAAAATTTCGACAGGTTGGTGCCTTGCCCTTAAATTGCCCTGAGATGAACCCTCGGGCCACTGTGGCAGGATTGGGAGCTCCTTCTGTGGCTGGCGCAAGCCTGAGGCCCTGGGTCGAAGCTGCCGGGCACCCAGTCCCGTGGGAAAGAACCTTTCCTCGGCCCTCCCCACCAGCAACTGTCTCCACGGCCTTCCCTTCCCAAGCGGCGGTGAGGCCTTGGCCTGGGGATGACCTCACAACCCTCTGTCCTCTCTTCCAGATAGTTTCTGCGGTGCAGTACTGTCACCAAAAATTCATTGTACATAGAGACTTGAAGGTGAGTATGAACACTAGAAAAGCACTTCTGCCCGGGATTTGGAACTGGGAGGCTGAATTCCGCCCCCGAAGCATGGTGGGGTAGGCCCAAGTCTCTAGTCCTCATGGCTGTTACAAAAGGCTTGAAACTCATTTGGATCATGTGGCTGAAGTAGGGCCCCTTATATCTTACCTTGAGGCCTCTCTCTCTCGCCAAGCATCAAAAATCCGTGTATCTCGCCTGTTTTTTGAAGCAAAGCAGAACAGAGGGTATGAATGGGGCTTTGGTTTCTCCCACCCCATCCATCCCCCTCATCCTTCTAGATGTCAGGAGGTGGGCAAAGTCTAGGGAAGAGTTGGAGCCACGGCTTGATGTGCCCTGGTTTCCAGCTGGGCCTCATGAGCCAGATACCATCGGACATCGGTTTGGATCCAGATATCATCAGACATCGGTTTGCCCCGTCTGAAACTGATTTTCCCCTCCTCCTCCTCAGGCAGAGAATCTGCTGTTAGACGCCGACATGAACATTAAAATTGCAGACTTCGGTTTCAGCAACGAGTTCACGTTTGGCAACAAGCTCGACACGTTCTGCGGGAGCCCCCCGTACGCCGCGCCCGAGCTTTTCCAGGGCAAGAAGTACGACGGCCCCGAGGTGGACGTCTGGAGCCTCGGGGTCATTCTTTACACACTGGTCAGCGGCTCGCTGCCCTTCGATGGGCAGAACCTCAAGGTAGGAGGGGCAGCGGGCACGGCTAGCCTCTCTCCACATCCCTTTTTGCCCGGACCGGGAGGGAACCCACCAGCCACACCGCACAGTTTAGCTCACCGCTCCTGCTGCCTGAAACAAAACCGCGGGGGAGCCGTTTCACCCTTTTAGAAAAGGAGTGAAGAGCAGCACGCGGTGGCGGTGGCGGCGATGCAGCCAGGAATTGCCCGGTGATCAGTGGTTATGGATAAAGGGCTCACTGGTAGCTGGCCGGGAATCCCCTCCTTCGGTTTTAAGGGCTCGTCGGCACAATTAGGTCTGAATGGTAACTCTTCCAAGGGAGGAAACCTCCTCGCCCCTTTAATAACGCCGCCGTCTAACTGACTGAGGCGAGCCAGCGATATCCCACTGCCATTTTAATCTCATTATGCTTTATTTATCGCATTCCTTTTATCACCCCCTAACAAAAGCCATTCGCAAGAAAGTCGCACGTGGAGTGAGTGCTCTCTCTCTCCCTCTTTCGGGTTCCCCTCTGCAGGAGCTGCGTGAACGGGTCTTGAGGGGGAAGTACCGGATCCCCTTCTACATGTCCACGGACTGCGAGAACCTGCTGAAAAAATTCCTTATCCTTAACCCTAGCAAGAGAGGCACTTTAGAGGTGAGGTCTATTGGAGCCAAGTGCATCAACACCCCGCTTCCCCTTTGAACCGCTGCTCCGTGCCCTGACATCTGGTTCAGTGTTGCCTCCTCTGACTGGTAGCAGTTCCCCAGGGTCTCAGCGGGTGCTTTCCCAGCTCCACCTGGAGACCCTCTAGAATGTACCTGGGAAATTTTGCATGGAAAGCTGGTGATGTTCCCCTGACCTATGGTGCTTCCTCTAAAAGGAAAGGCCCCGGACTATGCATGGTTACACACATAAGTATCCGACCTGTTTTTAGATAATCTGTTTGTAAAGATATATCATGTATCAGGTCTAAGTAAGGTTCCAGTCCTCATGGTTCTGAATAGAGAGCCGGACGTAGGAAACTCCTCTATAGTCACTTAAATCATTGGTTTATCTAATTGAGTATTATCTACACAGACAGGTAATAATTCACCACAGTTTTAGAATGACCCCTTTCCCAGCCCTACCTGTAAATGTTGGCATTTAAAGTTGGGACCCTGTACAGAGAAATCAGGCGCCTTTCTACCATTGTCATGACTGAGTGGTCTTGACTGAACCTCTGGCCTGAACGTTTTTCCGTCATAGTTACTGCTCTCCCTCCGCTTTTGTTTCACAGTGTCATGCAGTGCCAAAGACAGCAATAAGGGTTGTTTTCCTGCCACCTACCTAGGAGTTAGGGTGTCCCCGGTCACCCCAGCTGTTGAGACACACATACTCCTTTGGCCTGAAACATAGCAACAACCAACATCACAACGCACTCTTGTGATGTTTAGAAAATCCAGTTCTGCCGTCCCCAGCCTGCCCCAATCATGGCTGACTGGGGAAACTGGGTTTTGTAGTGCTTCCTTTTGCACAAGAAAGCGGTTTTGTTCTTTTGTTGCGGGGTTGTGCTGTTAGCAGATTTCTTGCTTGTATCGTTGGGGTATGTGTGAGAATAATTTTCAAAGGGTCTGTAACAGTTTGGGGGCCTGGGACGAAAGCCAAGAACTGCTCGACCCCTTGTATTCAATCGCATTCCATTTGCATAGATCTGTATTTGCACAACCTGTTAAATAGCAATCGGTCACAATCCCACGTAATCTAATTTCATCATATTTTGGCATCTATTTCTCTCTGTTACAGACCTAATAAATCAGTGGCAGAAATGCTTTCTGATCTGGTGGGGGGGGCGTCCTTCCGCATGGCAGTGGGCAGCCAACACCGGTTTCCCACTCTGTGTCCGTTTGACAGAAAGCGGTAGTCATTCCGCACACGCACACCCTCAGGCACGCACAGTCTCTCTCCCGTTCCCTCCAGATACGCTTGTCTCATTACACATTCTGTTTCTGGCTGCACGCTTCCAGTGCGCGCTGCGCAGCACAACCCATGTGCAGGCCCTTTAATGGTGTTTGATGTCGATTCTGGGGGCTGACCAGTTGCACACGCAGTGCTGGATCCACGGCTCATGCGCCTGCTTGTGTCTCCTTCTCCTTCTCCTCCGCGAAACGAACAGATAAATAAAAGTGCCTTGTCAGTACCTTCTTGGTGTTGAGAGGGCACGTCCGGCGCGTGAGAGCGTTGCCAGCAGGAAAGCCCTGCTCTTACATGCGGTTGTGTTTTGGCTTTTTCATTCCTCTCCCGAAAAAAACCCCAACAGCCATTCTTCTTGCCTCAGTTCTAGCGGGAATCAGTCCCGGCTCATTTCACAGTGTCTTGGCTCCTGCCTTTGTCTGGCTGGCTTGCAGTGCCCCCTGCCATCCGGAATTGCCTTTCTGCGTAGGCAGGTAATGAAGTGGCCCTTGCGGCCTCTTCTCGAGTCAGAGAGGGAAGCCCCTTCGCTGCCGGCGGCCCTGGAACGTTGCGGCGCCTGCCTGATGTTCTCTGCTCGCCAGGAACAGCTTTAAGCTTCGGGGATGTTGAGTCCCCTTTGATTTGAAAGGGGGAAGGCAGAGAAGCTTTGATTCTCATTCCCTCTCTCTCTCTCTCTCTCCCTCTCCCTCCCCCTCTCCTCCTTGAAATGCCTAGGGAGGATTCTGTGTGGGAGGCCAGGAATATCCTGTGGCAGCCATGTGGGGCGCTTGGCACACCGTTGCCGCAAGCCGGGATTTCCGACCGGCCGGGCTGCTGGAAGGGATGCCTTCCTGGGGGCCGTCCCTCCCCAGAGACCCTGCCGCAAGGGTTGGGCTTCACTTCGCTCCTCACGCACCAACCTCCCTTGCTGCGGAGGGGCAGCCCCAGCTCCTGCTTTCATCGCCCCCCTTCTGCGTGGCTCGGAAAAAGGAACAGACTGTGTTCAGGGAGGAGAGAGCAAGGCTGCCCGGCTGCCACTCCCCTGCTTGGAATCTTCTCTGCAAGAGGCGGTGGGCCTCTTCTCCTTGCCACCCAGCCGCTTTGGGGGCCGGACCGGTTGGCGCCTCCTCTTTGCCCCCGCTGGTGTCACATCTGCCTCGGTGGCCGGGCACGTGCTTGGCGGGCAGAGCCCCCCAAGGCCCCCCGTGTCCTCAGCTCAAAGCGGGTCATGGGCCAGCAGGGCAAGAGTCGCCCGGGGGAGGCGACTGGGAAGGGCCCCGCACGGGAACCTGTCCCGGATCCTCCTGCCCGTGCGTTGGGCTCATCTTCGCAGGCCCACTTTGGCCGCCCTTGCTCAGCCGGGAGACTCACTTGGCACCCAGACCGGGCTTTCTGGCCACCAGGCAGAGCCCTCATTGCCCAGCCTTTGATACCAGGGTAGACTTCAGCATGGGGGACTCTGCTGCCGCCGGCTGCTCATTGCGATGGCTGTTAGCCCCTGCCAGTGTCAGAGGCAGCCTGCCTCTCTGTGCCAGATGCTGGAGGACTCAAGCGGTGGGGTGCCATCACACATGCCTGCTTGCGGGTTTCCCATCGAGGCAGCCGGCTGGCCGCTTTGGAAACAGTATGCTCTGCTCAGCAGGCCCTTGGCCTGGTCCCGCCGGCCTCCTCTTACGTTCCCATCAACCAGTTCATTTAACGCCTCATTCATTCAGCTGTTGCATGTACAACAGTTGATCCTCCTCCTGGTATTCTGCATCATTCTTTGCTTTCCGCCCTGGTAGAAGCGCTTAAAAGGCAATACACCGATGCGAAAAAAGAAAGCCAGTGTGATGTCGTGGTTAAGAGCGTGGGACTGGGGCTCGGGCAGTCTGGGTTCCAGTCCCTGCTCGGCCATGGAGCCAACCAGCTGACTTTGGGCCAGTCCCAGACTCTCAGCCCACAGGGTTGTTGTTGTTGTTGTTGTTGTGGGGATAGGACTGAGAATGGCTAAGCCACTTTGCATTCACAAGAAAAAGGCGGGTTATAAAAATCTAGCAAATACAACAACATAAATGAATAGACGGCCCACTGTTCTGATGCAATATTGGGTCAGTTTCAGCTGGGGCAGCCAGTGCCCTGCCCTGGTCCTGCTACAGGCTAGTCCTCTCCTAGAGCATCAGAAAAGACGGGCGTGTCCCCCTTCCTATTGCGCAAGGTGCTCCTGTTTTAAAAGCAGGCACCTGTCCAGGTGCCCAGCCAGGACCCTTCTGCCTGAGATGTCCGCCTTGCTCGAGCCTCACCACGCACCCCGCCAGCTGACCCAGGGTTTCTCCTTACCCTGCTCTCCGCAGCAAATCATGAAAGATCGCTGGATGAATGTGGGCCATGAGGATGATGAACTGAAGCCTTACACGGAACCTCTGCCGGACTACAAGGACCCCCGGCGGACAGGTACGGCACCAGGGCTGGGGGTGTCCTTCCCACCAGGCAGACACGCGCATCCCAAGGCGCCTCCCGGCACCACCCTCTCCCTCCATTCCTGTGGGATTAGTTTAGCTTGGTTTCGTAATCCGTCAAGGTGCTCCGGCCCTGCCGCACCTTTCCCCGTGTGGCACACTCCTTTCTCTTGTCCTGCAGAGCTCATGATATCCATGGGATATACCCGAGAGGAAATCCAGGACTCGTTAGTCAGCCAGAAGTATAACGAGGTCATGGCTACCTATCTGCTGCTAGGATACAAAAACTCAGAGGTGGGTGCTTCGGCCGTTCGAGCCGCATGTGTGTTGTGGGCAGAATTCTTGCCACGGACATTTCGGGGTGGTTCATGTCCGTCGGATGCCGAGGCAGCAGGAGGACCAGTGGATACTCTTGTCCACAGATCTTTCCTTGTTCTGTGCGGGGATCCTCTGTTTGCCATCAGCGCTTCCCCGCCACCCCGGAAAAGTATCGCTGCAAGACGCCCCAGGGCATTTTGTGTGCCCGGGAGGGGCTCCAAACCGTGCCTCTGGAAACTTCCATCAGCTCCCTTCCTTCCGGGGTGTCTGCCCCCCTGAGGGGTTCATACTTGCCATGGTTTGCAGACACCTGGTGGATTTGCAGCCTCTTAGCTGCTGTGGATCCATGATCATCTAATAACTGGGTTGTCTTACGGGGTACCTCTGGACACCTGTCCTGGCTCCCAGTGGGATCCCCAGGCCTTCGGGTTCTTGCTGGATCTCTTAAGGATGTTTTTCCTCACTTCTTTAGAAACTTGCTGCCACAGTGCTCAGTCCGGGACCACCCTCAGCTTCCTGGGCAGCCCTTTCCTTTGGAAATGAACATGGGGGCCTTTTCCTCAGGGTACTTTCCTAGGAACTGAGTGCTTTGCAACAGGCTGCGGCTACCATGGCAGCTTTTTACGAGTCGGCGATTCCACCCCGAGGCAACTCATTTTGTGAGAGAAACCGCAACTCCCTCGCAAAATCTCATACATGCCCACCAACCCACAAAGGCCGCGGACCCATGGCTGTGCGCTGCTGGCCGCCACGGCTGCTGAATAAATTAAGGGCTGCATTTATGCACCCCACTGTGGCACTACTAGAGACCACCTGCTCCAAATTGTCCGGAAGGCATTAGAAGCAATCTTCTCACCGGCGTCTTCACACCCTCCCTGCCTTTATGCATTTAACTTGCCTCTTCTGGTTTGTGAGGGCCTACAATTTAAAGCGAATAAAATTACCGCCTGGCACGCGGGTCCCATCTCTGCCACCCTGCCAGGAATGCCACATCCCTTCTCCACAGGGTCGCCTCCTCTCCGTGGCTTCCACGCCACCCGACTCCCGCGGCGTGTGTTCCTTGCACTGGTCGAGAGGAGCATGCCGTTTTTTTCCTGGGTGTGAAATTCAGCTTCCAGAGATTAGCATTCCCCCTCGAAGGCCTGCTTCTCTTTCATCTTTTCTTGCCTGGGAAAGGACGGCGCTCCCTCCCCTCCGTTTTCTGCCTCTCCACTCGCTGCCCAGCTGGCTGCGGGGGCGGAACATGGCACGGAGGGGCAGGCTGCCCTAGTCAGAGGACTGCGCCAGGGCTGCGCAGCGGCCAGGGCTGCACTTGCCCTCTCCGTGTCAGAGTGCCAGAGGTTCCAATCCTGACTGAGCCGGACGAGCGAGGGCCCAGGCGTGCAGGCAGAATGCACCTGGGCCAGGTGGGTGGGAAAGCCATACCACCTCTTCGGGCTCCTTGGAAAAAGGTGGGACTTTAAATGTCCTTCTGAGGGAGCCATTCCTACAGGAAGTGAAACGGGTGGCATTTAACAGAAGGGCCTCCTCAGTGGCTGCCCCCAACCTTTGAAATGGGCTTCCGAAAGAGGTTCACTTGGTGCCGACTCTGCTTTCATTTCGGTGTCAGGCAAAGACCACCCACTTTTGCAGATTTTTCAAGACCTGACTTTAACACCTGATTAAAAGTGTCTGCTCTGATCCAGCGGATTCACCTTCCCTGTGTACTCGTAATATTGGCTTGTATCTTGATATTGTTGGCCACTCAGAGAGTCCTGTCAGGCTATTGAGTGGCATATAAAATTGAAAATAAATAAATAAGATTAGGAGAGCAAGTTTTTATTCAGGTCACGACATCCAGAGTTTGGGGGCGCAAGGTTTGGGCGGAACTCAAAGTAGAGTTTGAGCAGAAGGAAAGGACACCCTGGCGTCGCATGTTGTCTGCGCTTCAGAGAGAAGTTTATTTCTCTGCTGAGGGGGAGAATTGTTGGTCTCCTTGTTCAGCAGCCTCCCCCAACCTGTGCTTGGACCAGATGATGGAATTTGCTTTTGGGACATTTCCCTTGGGAGTCGCATTTGAACTTCCAGGGTTCCTTGCGCACAGGGCAAAGGAATGAAACAATGGGGGAGAATGAGCCCGTGCTTCGAAAACATGCAAGGCAAATCGAGCAGATTTGGCGACTCCTTGGCTCGGGCCCGAGCGACGTTCAGCACCCCTCTCTTCCCCCCTCTCTGGCCTCACGCCCCGCCTTTCTCCTTCCAGCTTGACAACGACAGCATCACCCTGAAGCCGCGGACGCAGCCTGAACACACCAACAGCACCGCCCCCTCCCCGTCACACAAGGTACAGCGCAGCGTATCGGCCAACCCCAAGCAACGCCGCTTGAGTGACCAGGGTGAGTCTCCCGATCTGGAGCAGGCCTCTCTTTGTGGGCTCGCATCCCAGGTGGGCAGCGTGGCCGCCCCCAGATGTCTGGCACCAGCGCCTCTGGTCAGGCCTCGTCAGTGTAGCCGGTGATCCGGGATTCTGGGAGCAGTGGGCCAGAACCTCGGACAGGCGTCAAGTCTGCCCTTCCTGGCTTCTCTAATCCGGATAGAGATTGCACACCAGGAGGCACGCGCTGGCCACTGGCCCGCGGACACCCCTGCCGGGCAACAGCTCACCGCTTCTCTCTCTCTCTCTCTCTCTCTCTCTCTCTCTCTCCCTCTCTCCCCTCTCCTCTCTCCTCTCTCCTCTCTCCTCTCTCCTCTCTCTCTCTCTCTCTCTCTCAATTCCCCTTCCCACCCCAGTACCAACCATCCCAACCTCCACTTCATACTCCAAAAAGACGCAAGCGGCCAACGCGGAGAACAAGCGGCCCGAGGAGGAGCGGGAGGCCGGGCGTGGCAAGGCTGGCAGCACGGCCAAGGTGCCTGCCAGCCCACTGCCGGGCCTCGAGCGGAAGAAGAGCACCCCCACTCCTTCCACAGTCAGTCCCTTCTTGCTGCGGGGAGGCCGGGTGGGGGTGGGGGGCAACTGGCGTGGCCGAGACGGACCTTTAAAGGGGGGAGAATGGGTGTAGGGCCCCTGGGAGGGCTTCTGGCTAGGCATGGGGTGGGTGCTGGCACTGATTCTAAGGCAGGAAAGACATTCGGGAACGGGAAGGTAGCCCAGGAGAGAGGGCGGCAGGCTGAAACTGCTGTTGGTGGTGCTTTCGGGAGCCGAGCCAGTGACCGTTCCAGCCTTGAGAGCAAGTGTCGCCTGATGGCAAGAGGGCTGGACTGAGGCTTGGGGGATCCAGGTTCTAGTTCCACCTTGACCAGGATGCCCACTGGGCCCCTCCCTCCCAGCTGTACCTACCTCAAAGGGTTGTTGTGAGGATGAAACAGGTCGTGTGTGCTCCTTTGGACCCCTTGCATGACCAAAAAAAGTGATTTTTTTAAAGTCATCTGTGTAGGAAGCTGAAGTTCAGAGCTGCTACACCAACCATATGTGTTGGACGGCAACAGCACTGGCTGAGGGGATTCTGGGAACTGAAGTCCCATACATCTGGCTGTCCTTGAGCATGGCAGCGAAGGGTCCCCATCACTCGGTCTTTCTGTCCCCTGCAGAACAGCGTCCTCTCGACCAGCACAAACCGGAGCCGCAACTCGCCCATGCTGGACCGGGCCAGCTTGGGCCAGAACTCCATCCAGAATGGCAAAGATAGGTAAGGTGGGGGCCAGGACTGTGGCCGAGCAGCTTGGTGATAGAGGTACCCTGGCGGATTTGGTGGGGAATCGGAGTATTGATAGGAAGCACCAGGAAACCGAGATGGGAAGGGAACGGAATGGAAATGGGCCGCTTCACAGGTTCAAGTCGACACGCTGGCTTTAATTCCGGTTTCGTACGCACTGGCCCTTTCGCAGCCGTGGGCTCTGCTCCATCTCCTCCTTAGGCCTGAACAACCAAGAGTAACGCCTGCTCCATCGTCGCTCAAACTATGGTTTGGGGTTGGGGCAGCTCGTACGCTGACCTGGCTTGCTGGGGCCCGGAGCGGCCGCCTTCTCGGACGTCTGGCCTGTAGCCCTGCCGGGTGGCAGCCACTTTCCCCTTCTGGTTTGCCCCTCTACAAACCCTTCCTCTCCTGCTGCTCTCCTCCCCACCGAGCGGTCTCTGAGCTGTACTGCAGCGCCCCTCTGGGGCTTTCTCTGGGCAGAGTATCTCACTCCACTGAGCAGGCTGCGCTTGTGGGTGAGCGGATGCCGCTGCCTCTGTGCCGAGTCGTTTCACCGGCTGGCGGCCTTGGTGTGTGTGGGCCGGTCTGAGAAGCAGCGGACTGGCCCAACAGCGGAAGGCCTTGCACGCAGGCCCAGGGGCTGGGTGCGTGCGTGTCTGGACCCCGGCTGCATTCTCACTGCAGCAGTCTGCCTGGGCCCGGGCCGGAGCAACACAGGAAATGGGGAGGGCGTCCATCTGGGGGAAGGCTAAGCCGGACAGGCTGCTTTGCTGACATGCTAGATTTCATCCTGCGGTGAGTGGCCTTTGAAGTGAGAAGCATTGGGTCTCTCGCCTGCAGTCTGAAATGGAACAACCCCAGACGTGGGCGGCTGCCTGGCTGAGAACTAGCTGCGTGCGGCAAAAAGGAAAGGAAAAAGAGAGAAGCGGCGGCAGCGGTATTTCGTTCAGCCCCAAACACTCTTCTCTTCTGCCGCTCCGGCCCAGGCCCAGGCCAGCACTCCAGTGAAACAGCGGCCAGTTTGGCCCCTGAATGCAGCCTTCAGATCCAGCTGCAGCTGGAATCGTGGGCCTTCTGTTTTCCGGAGCAGTGCCGCCACGTTCCTTCGGCCACTCCACCCGGCGGCACGGTTTGAGGCCTCAGGCCACAGAGGAGGGCATGGACAGAAGAGCCCGTTGCCAAACCGGCTGGCAGAAGAGGGCAGGACGGGAGGGCGGCCTTCCCTCCCTCTGAAAGTGTGTGCGGAAACCGAGTCCTCTGGCCGAGGAGAGGAGAGGAGAGGACCGTCCCGCATCCTCCAGCGCTGAGGCATGTAGCCAGAGGCAGGTCTCCTCCACTCTCCTCACCGTGCCCTGTGCGACTTCTGATCTGGCTGGAGAGGAGCCCTGTGTGACCGGTTCCATCTCTCCTCCATTACATGCACACGCACACACAGGCTTTCTTTTTGCCCGACCCACCACCATACATGGCCCTGCTGGGGCCCTTCTCAGCCCCACGCCACCACCCGCTTCCATCCTCGCCCTCACATCCAGATTACGTCTGATCCATATACACATATACCAGGATGTATATTGTATATTTGCTTCCCCCAGGACATCTGTGTGCCACTAGCGGCTGTATCCGTGCTGGGAGGGGCTGACAAGGGTGTACCCACGTCCTCGCTCCTTTGGCCGTGAAGCAAAGTTGTGTCCGAGGAATTCGGCTTTGCCAAAAAGGAGAGACCTGTGGCCAGAACTATTCAGCCCCAGGGGCCCCTTTGAACGCATGTACCAGATCCAAACTAGGGGGCAGGATAGTCTCTGCCTTCCCCCTGTGCCCCTAATTCAGCCCTGCCTCCAAGAAAGGGTTATCAGAGGGATGACTTCAAGTTAATTGGGATGGGGGAAAGCCAGCCTCCCTCCCGCCGAAAGTCAGCAGGAGGCAAAACCATCAGTCACGGATCATTGAAAAGCAGGGAGGTCTGGAGGTCAGAAAGACCTTCTGCTGGGAACTCTTCTCTGGAGCAAAACGGTTTGATGCAGGAACCAGGAGACAGACCAGGCCGTGCTTCAGTTAGGGTTGACTCCTTCTGGATGGTTTAATGTGCTGATTACGCCTCGATTTCCCCCTCTTCTTGGCCAAAAAGTTAACCTGTATGAATTAGCAAGGAGAATTAGCTGAGCAGTAACCATGCTTGTGCTGGGTGCTCTGCAGGGGGTGCTCAGCATCCCCCACCCTGTGGGGTGGCTAGGGCTGCCCCGCGTCTGCCATGTCACATGCGCTTGGGGGTCCGGGCGCTTGGAGCAAGAGAGAGGGAGAACACGCATCTTCCATCGCTTTGAGAAATCTCCACGGGGGGCGAAGAGGCTGTTCTTCCAGTTAAGACAGCAAAGCCCGGATCCGGGTCCAGGAGAGGCCGGTGTCTCTGTCCCTGCCAGGCGGCATCCCCAGACTGTTCTCCCGGGCAGGGAATTCTGGCAGGGGCCAGCTACGGATACAGCCGCCCTCCCTCCTTCCCTCCCTCCATCCCTCGTTTCCCTGTCCCTCCCCCCTTTTAAACTTCTGCTTCTCCCTGCTTGTTTTTTCTCTCCCCCCCCAGCCTAACCACTCCGGGCTCCAGGGCCTCCACTGCCTCCGCCTCCGCCGCCGTGAGCTCCGCGCGCCCGCGACAGCACCAGAAATCCATGTCTGCCTCGGTGCACCCCTCCAAGCCCACGCTGCCCCCTTCCGACAATAACTGTGAGGCACAGCGACCCAGGCAAGTGGGCAGCTGTGCGTCCCCCCCCCCCCCCCCCCAGGGCCCCTTTCGCCCCCCCCCCCCCCGGTCCGGGGCCAGGCCTCCCCCCACCCTCGTGCCCTTCCCCCCCGCGCTCGCTCAGGGCCCAGAGGTAAGTGGAGGGCAGCAGCCACCCGGCGGGGGCAGGATGGGGCCGGGGGAAACACGTGCGACGCGAGGAGAAGCTTTTCTTTCTCCCCCGGGCGGGCCGAGCGCAGCAGGAAGGCGGGGGAGAGGCACCAGCCCGTTGGACATGGGGCGGGCGGCCTGTTGGTGGGAGGTGGTCCTCCACCCCCGCCTGGCGCGCCCCCCACCCCCATGCCCGGAAGGAACGTTGGATTTGTGCGCTGCAGCGCTGTGCCGCTCGAAAAGGGCCAGGTGTCACTTTTGGGGAGTTGGCTGGGACCTCTTTAGCGCCCTGTGGCCGTGACGGGGCCGTGCCTCTGCTTCCGGACAAGCCAGGTTTGATGCTTTTCACGCTCCTTGGGGGCTTCCTGCCAGAGGGGAGCAGCCAGCAGCCAATTTATGTGCCGGGTTTGGGGGTGCAGCCATGGGGGAGATGGAGTGATTGCAAGAGGCCCCGGCAGAACGGAGGGAGCCGGGCCACGGGCATGCTGGGACGGTTGTCAGCGTGGCATGGACAGCCAGTGACTTTTCATCATTCCCCGAGGTCTCTCCCCTTCCCACTCCGTTCTTTTCTGACGCGCCAGCTGGGCGCCTGGCAAAGGGGCTGAATCCCTTCCCCTTCCATGGGAACGGCTTCCGCACAGGCACTGCTCAGATTCTCCCCTGTGTTCCCTCTTCTCTTGGCTTCCAGAGGAGGGAAGAGCAGCAGCATATTAAGAAGCACGCACAGTGCCCGCGTCTCACTTTAAGCCAGGAATCCTGGCTTACTAAGCCACCTTGTGATCTAGCTTTGTGGTGGGGCTTGCAGCCCGGTGAAGTGCCTGAGCAGGTTGGGCAGGGCCGTGGGGCGGGTCGTGCCCCTTCCTCTGCTCTGATCCTGGCTCAGATCTTGGAAAGGCTCTGCTCTGCTCTGCTCGTGAGACTGGGGTGGGTGGAGCGAGGGCCTGATGAGCGATGGGGCAGCTGTGCGCCTGAGCTCAGGAGTAGTGTTTGTTATACCCAGGGTGCATAAGCCAGCAGCAAACCCTGTTTTGCAGTTTTCTTTTGACTCCTGGCAGCTTTGAGCACAAACATATTTAAACCTGGTTTCACACGGCTCCGTAAGCTCTCCCTGCTGGGTTTGTTTGCCTGCCTGCTCCCATGCAGGGAGGAACAAGGAGGGCCTGTGTGCCCGAGTATGTGGCTCAGGGTTGAACATAGTCGAACTGTGGGTTGTTGTGTTGTATGAACTCGACCACAGTAACAAATCATGGTTTGTTAACCACAAACTTAGAATTTGCACGGGTTGTGTTTATGGGTCGTTTGTGGCAGCCGAGTCTAACCTTCCTGGTTTCCCCCAAGTCCATTGGCGGCTCGGGAATCCTTTCCCGGGGCTGCCACCTTGTGCTTCCTTCTAAACTGCAGCTCCCAGGATGGCGTGGGGGCCAGGGCTGCCCCCTGTCAGGCCCAGGTGATTACGGTCAGGCTGAGCCGGCGAGCGAGCGAGCGAGCGGTTCCCTGACCGTCCTCCTCTGCTCCTTTCCTTCCACACAGCACTGCTCCCCAGCGGGTCCCGGTCGCCTCCCCCTCAGCCCACAACATCAGCAGTGCCCTTCCCGAGCGCACCAACTTCCCGCGGGGCATCTCCAGCCGCAGCACCTTCCACGCCGGGCAGCTCCGGCAGGTTCGGGACCAGCAGAACCTCCCTTACGGCCTCACGCCCGCCTCGCCCTCCGGGAACAGCCCGGGCCGGAGGGGCGCCTCAGGAAGCCTCTTCAGCAAGTTCACCTCCAAGTTCGTACGCAGGTGAGTGGGGAAGCGTGCCTCTGTCAGGGACCTCCCCACCGTGCGTTCCAGCGGCCCCCGGGGAGGGCCGGGTGGGGCAACGGGGCCGACGAAGCTCGCCGGCACACGTCCCGGGGTTGCTTCTCGGCTCTCTCGGGCGCAGTGCGTGGGGCGGGGGGCTCGGCAGGGCCACCCTCCCCCTGAAGGGACCCCGCATGCTCGCTCACTGCCGTGTGTCTGTGTGTGTGTGGTGCACAGCCGCTCCCTCCCCCTCCCAACAAGCGCCCCCTCCCACCACAGTCGCGCCACCATCGCCGCGGCCCTGGTCCTCGTGTCTCCCCCCCCCCCGTCTCTTCCCCCCTCCTGCCGTCTTGCACCTTCCTGCTGGGGACAGGAGTGCGGCCTGCCCTGCAGACGGATCCTCCCCCCACCGTGCTTGGAGGGGCTGGGGAGGAGGGGCCTGCGGCCGGCCGGGGGTGCACGAGGCAGCCCCTTCCCGGGGGCCGGATTCTTCCTAGCAGCCTAGGGGCAGGGGTGGCGCCCAGCAGGAGGGGGCCAGAGAGAGCCCTTTGGAGAGGAGCTAGGGTGGGGCGCTGCAGGGGCCCTTCCGGCGGGCAGGACAGGGCGGGAGTGAGGCCCCGTGCGAGGTCTTCGCCTTCCGCGAACGAGCCCCCCCTGTGGGAACTGGGGAAAGGCCGCCGCCTGGGGGCCCCCACAGGGAGTTAGGGGAGCCCCCTAGTGGGAGCTGCAGCACAGGCTCCCTCCGCCCCCCCTCCCCGCAGGTCTGCCGCTTGGTTGCCGGGGCTCCGCCGGGGCTCCCAGCGGGTCGCTGGGGCAGCGGACGCGGGCCCTTTGGGCAGCCAAGCTGAGGGCGGGACGCTCCGCAGCATCCGGTGCGCCACATGCTAGTTCCATGCAGCCCACCAGAGCCCAGGAGCTGGAGCTGGTGGGGCAGGGGTGGAGGAGCGGGGCCCGCCGGGACCTCCGCCCGCCTTTTGGGGAGCTGGCGTTGGGCAGAGGTGCTCGGGGGCCAGCAGGCCTCCCGGCTTCTTCCCAAGGGCCACAGGGGCCCTGCTGCCACTCCCCCACGCACCCCTCCGCCCTCGCGAGCAACGCACAGCTGCAGGGGGCCATTCTGGAGATCCAGCCAGGCCGCCTGGGGGGGGTGGGGGGGTGAGGATGCCCTGCAGCCCAGCACTTCCTGTCCCCACCCCCCTTTGCTGTCCGTGTTTACCTCCCCCCCTTTCTGTCCCCAGCTCTGTGGGAAGCCCAAGCCGGGCTGAGGGCGAGGAGCTGCCCGGGGGCCCACGCCCCGCACCGCAGGGTCCAGCGGCAGCTGAGCCGGGGCGGGCAGCAGGGTGCAGCTCGTCCTCCCGGCCTTGGGAGAGGGAGCCAAAGGCAGAGCGGGGTTGCTCCGTGCCCCCGGCCCTGGCCCCGGCCCTGAAAGGGAGGGTGGGGCGCCGGCCCACCCTGGTGTGGCTGGCGCTCACTCATTTGCACGCACGCACTCACACTCACCCGCCCGCCCGCCCACCCACCCACCCACCGTTTTTTCCCCTTTTTTTCCCCCTTTTAGAAATCTGTCTTTCAGGTTTGCCAGAAGGTAGGCGTTCATCACTTTGGTTTTGTTCTGTCCTCCTCCTCCTCCTCCTCCTCCTCCTCCTGTACAACCCCCCCACCGGCTTCCCCCTACCCCTCCCCTCTCCCCCTCCTGTGCCTTGTGGCTGCTAATGGTGTCTGTGTGTGAGCGGGAGGGCACGCTTAAAGGGACAGCCGGGATCCTGCTTGCGCGCTGCCTGCGGGACGGGGGACCCAGGCCCGCCTTGAGCGCCCGCAGATGGGCTGGCCCGGGAGCCGGGGGACGGCGGGCGCGGCAGAGCGAGTGGGCCAGCCCAGGGCCGGCCCGCCAGCGCTGGGGCTGGCCCTCCCCGCTCGGGAAAGCTGTCTCTTTAAAGGTGAGCTCTGCCTTCCACGGTTCCCCAGGCTGGGCCTCCGATCTTTCACCAGAAACCTCCCCCTCTCCTCCCCCCTCGCCCTCCCCCCAGCAACCCCCTTCTCCCTGCACGGTGGCGGCGGTTAGGAGGAGCTGGGGTCTGCGCTCGCAGCTGCCTCGAGGGCGTGGAGCTGGCACAGTGTGGCGCGGCAGGGGGCACCCCGGAAGCCGCCTGGTCCCAGAGAGGAGCAGGCATTTTGCCTCCCCGCTGCTGCTGCATTGGGGGAGCTCATCTTTTTTTAAGTAGGGGAGGGTTACTAGTCCTCATGGTCATGGAGACAATATAGACTTGCCCTGAAGATGTATAGAGATAGGGCGCGGTGGGGGGGGGCCTTGTGGTTCAAATGGAGCGCCTGGTATCCCGGGGGCACGGAGCAGGCTGCCCACCGCTTCGTCACCTCGCCAGGGACACGGCCTTGCTCCGAAGCAGAGGCTTGGTCCCTCTTGTTTCACCCTGGCTGCCGGCAGCTCTCCAGGGGCACTGCCCAGCCCTGCCTGGGGCCAAACCAGGGGCCTTCTGCGGCCCGAGCCGATGCTCTGCCACAGAGCCGGGCCCCCTCCCCGTCCGGAGCCAGGAAAGGATTCCCTCTGCCGACAGGCCAGCGCAGCGTGGCTGGCGGTGTTTTGGGGGCCACCCCCCACTCCCAGTGGTACATGCTCCATCTGAGTGCAGTGGAGTCACTTGGGCTGCTACGGGGAGCAGTGAAGACGTGGGCAGAGGCGGTGTGCCGGCAAGGACCCCTCCCAGGCCCCTCGGCAGGCAGTTCGGCAGGGAAGAGGCCTGCAGCCTTCCTCTGTCTGGCCTGGTGGTGGTGGGATGGAGACGCCCTTCCCGGGGGGGAGCTGTGAAGAAGGCTGGCCCCTGCTCCCCTCCTCTTCCTCCCGGCCGAGCAGGTCTCAGGCTTCTGCAGCGATGGCTGGAAACAGCATCCGTCCCCCCCAGGAGAAACTCCTGATCTCGCTAGCTATAAAGGACAGCATGGCTTGAGCAAAGGAAATAAAAGCCACAGCCACACACCTGGGTTAACCGGCGTTTAAAGGCTCGGGCAGCTCAGAGGGTTGGGCTTCGCTGGGCGTTCAGCGCGAAGAGCTTTGAGGAGGAGTTGTGTTCTTAAACACTTCTTTGCACACGGAAAACACACATTAAATGGGTCACGCTTTGAACCGTGCCGAAGCCGACATTCCTGTGTGAATGCAACTCAAAAGCATCACAAGCCCGTCCTGCCAGGACGGCCCTCAGGGCGCTCGGCGCAGCCACGAGGTTCACGCTCTGCCCCCGCAAGACCCTCGGGCGAGTCCTTGCTTGGCGGGTCCCTAAGCAGCGGGCCCATCGTAGGAAAGGCCCTGCCCGCCCCTCGCGCGGAGCTTGCGCCCCACGTCACTCGTTGGCCTTCGTGGGCACATGACTTCTGCATAGGAAGGGAGGGCGGGCTTAGATTGGAACAGTTATTTTTAGGCTGTGGGGGAAAAGTTCAAGAACTGAGTCATCGGGAGCTTTTCCCAGCCCCACGGAGTTCTTCAGCGACAGCGAGTGTTCTTGACATTAGCACGGTCCTTCCCTGTAGGACGAACCGACGGTGTTGTGGCAGATGGGGACGCGAGAGGCCATGTTGTGGGTCCTCGGCTGGCAAAGAGTCGAGCCAGGGATTTCTCGGTTCATAACTCACTCTCTCCCCCCGTAGCACAATAGCTTCAGCTCCTCCTCCTCTTCCTCTCCCCCTCCTCCCCCCCCCGCTTGGATGTGGCTTCTGCTCGTGGTGAGGGACTGGGGAGACACACCACGCCGCACCCCAAAACGGTGCCCGCGCACCGGCCTCGTCTCCCCTCTCCCTGTCCCTGTGTTGGCAAGCTGCATGCCAGGCGGAGCGTTGCATGCCCAGGGACGTGTCGGCTCGGCAGCAGCCCCGGCGGAGCCCCGGCCAGCCCCCGAGTGCCCGGGGCCCCCCGCCGGAGAGGTGTGCCCTGCCCCCCACCCCAGGAGGAAAGGAGAGCAGGTGTAGGAGCCGCTCGCGCAAGGATGCCTGACATCTTGTCTCCCGCTCTGTTTTTTGAGGAACCTGCATGAGCCCGAAAGCAAAGACCGCGTGGAGACGCTCAGGTGAGATGCAGACAGGGCCGGGGGCGCGAAAGCCTCCGCTCTCCTCTCGTCTTCTGTCTCTCCAGCAGGGCCTCTCCGCCTCCGGATGCAGCGCCCTCCTCTCCCGCCTGCCCTCTTTCCTCCTCTAGCTCCCGGCGGCCGCGTGGGCTGGGCAGGGCACGGCACGGCACGGCACTGGCGCCCACCCGCGGGGTGGGGGGTCCTGCGTCCCTCACGGCCCCTTCTCTCCCCCTCCCCTCCCAGGCCTCACATGGTGGGCGGCGGCGGGGACAAGGAGCGGGACGAGAACCGGGAGGCCAAGCCGCGCTCCCTGCGCTTCACCTGGAGCATGAAGACCACGAGCTCCATGGAGCCCAACGAGATGATGAAGGAGATCCGGAAAGTGCTGGACGCTAACAACTGCCAGTGCGAGCTGCAGGAGAAGTACATGCTCCTGTGCATGCACGGAGCGCCGGGCCACGAGGCCTTCGTGCAGTGGGAGATGGAGGTCTGCAAGCTCCCCCGGCTCTCGCTCAACGGCGTCCGCTTCAAGCGGATATCGGGCACCTCCATGGCCTTCAAGAACATTGCATCCAAAATCGCCAACGAACTGAAGCTTTAACAGGCCCCCGGGGGGGGCCGCCTGCACGCGCACGGGGCGGGCGCACGAGGAAGCTGCGGCCTAGCTCTGGAAGGGTTTGTTTTTCGCGGCCCTGGCGCAGGGCGAAGGAGCCCGGGGCAGGGGCAGGGGTGGCGGCGTTTGGGGACGGCCCCCTCCATCCCCCCCCCCCCCGGCTGCCGGGTCTCCATGGAGACGGAGTGCGTGGGGTAGTGGCTGGCAGCCACCCAGCCGGTCTCCGTGGCAACAGTGGTGGGAGCGTACCAAGGGCTGTTGGTCTCTATAGTGACTGTGTTGGGGGCATCCCTCTTGGTCTCCGTGGTGACCATGGTACTTTCCTTTTTGTTGTTGTTCTTGCACATGAGACAGGGTTTGAAATTTTACCAAACACAGCAAAAAGCAAAGAGCAGAACGGCGCCCCCCCCCCCCCCCCCAGAGCCCCCCCCCCCGGCCTTCTGCCTCTCGCGCACCCCCTTCCCCTCCGCGGAGCTGCCTCCTGGCGGCGGCTTCCGGGCCCCGGGCTCGGACCGGCAGGTGGTGCTTGGGCGGGGAGAAGCGGGGCTCGGCCCCGACGGGCATTACTGCAGCAGCGGCTCCCGCCCGCACCCCAGCCGCCCCGCTGGTGGGCGCTCCCCACCAGCAGCCCCCTGCCCTTCTCCCGGCCCTCCAACATTCCCCGCTCTGAGGCCGCGGGAAGGGGGTCTCGCCAGGCACGTGGCCACCTCCTGCCTCGGGAGAGCAGAGGCCAGGTGGCGCCTGGTCCCTGGCTCCCCCTTCACCTGCCCCCGCTTGCTCGTGTCCCGGCGAGCTCGGGAGGTTAGAAGCGCGGGGGCCTCACCGTGGGCTGCCGTCTGCCCAAATCAGCCCCCCCCCAGAACCCGGCAGCCAGCCAGCGGCCGACATCGCCCAGCGCCCAATTTCTCTGTTCCAGCGTGCCCGGACGGAGGCAGCTGTCCGCGTGTTGCCTTGGCTCGGATGCTGGGGAGCGTGCTGGCCCCCGTCCCGGCTCCTTTTTCTGTGCACCCAGGGGCCGGGGAGGGGGCCGCTCCCCCCCAAAGCGCCCACTGTGGCCGAAGACGCGCACGAGGCCCTGTCGTCTCGAGGGCCGGGGACCCGGCGCAGCTTCCTTCCGCTGCTCGCCGGCGTGTCCCCTTGAGGGAGAACAGGGCAGGCCTCATTCCCTCCTTTTCTGCGCTCACAAAGGCAGGAGCACCGCCTGCCCCCCCCCTCGTCAAAGCTCCCCCCCACCACATTTCAGGGGTCATCCTCTGCCCTCCCCTTTCCAAAGCACAAGAGAAAAATGGGACCCTCGCTACAATGGCCTCTTTTCTTCCCCTCGCCCCGCCTTCCCCTCAGCCGGGTTTCTCGCATAGTCATATCACCACTTGAGAATGTATTTCAATCCCTTTCGGGGCGGTTGGACTTCCGCGGTCCCCCGACTGGTCTTTGTCGAGCTCCTTTAACCTGGCCACGATCACATCCACAAATCTGGTTTGTATATAACTGTACTGATACCTCGGTTTTGTGAGTGGTTATTTTATTTTATTTTTGTTTAATTCTGATCACAAAATGCCTTTTTTAAAAGAAAAATCATGTCCCCTTTTTGTTCGGTTCCCCCCCCTCCCTCTAGGGACGCTGCCGTTTGATGTAGTTTTACAGGTTCTAGATTAAAACTTTCCAGAAAGCACCTGCCTGGCTTTCACTTCTGTCTTCCACCCTCCCGCAAAGGCTGCGGACAGGGCCGGGAGGTGCACGCCCCTTGCCGGATCGCAAGAGGGCTCGGTGGGGGTGGTTGCCCGGCTGTTCCCTTTGAGAAGGGCCAGCTGGTTCCAGGTCTCCCGTACTGGTTTTGCTTTCCGTTTGCTCCCCCCACGCCCGCCAGCAGAGGGGCTGGCCGCTCAGGAGGGCGCTGCGTTTGGGGAGGCAAGGAGCTCCCACGCCGCGAGGGGCGCAGAGCAATGCTGGTGCCCGGGAATACGGCCTCCCGTGCCGCCCCTCATTCCGCCCTCCCCGGGGGCACGATGGGGAGGACTCCTGTGGGCAGGGGCGTCCCCCGCACCCTCCCCTTGCCGGTGCCCCGGCAGCCCGCCGGACTCTCCTCTTCCGGTCGTATTAAAGCCGGAGGAGCCAAGCGTGTGTGCCCGCCAGCCTCTGACTCCGAGCGGGAGGGAGAGCCTGATCCTCCCAATAAAGGAGTAGCGCTTCCTCCTTGGCACAGGACGGATCTTCTCCTGCCCCGGTTCGGCAGTTCCATCTCCCGGTTCCGCCCCAGCCACGTGCTGGGTAGAAGGACCAGCCGTTTGTAACAAAATACCTTTATTGAAAATGCTCCATTAACAAACAAACAAACAAAACCCTGCCGAGACGCCCAGCAACAGGAGGGTCCTCGGAGGGAGGGGGGCAGAGGAGAGTGGCCCACCTTTCTCTGGGGAGCCCGGCCACCAGAGCCCCCTTTCCGCAGCACGCCGGGGCGACGGGCGTCCTCCCTCCTCCTCGCCCCCTTCCAAGTCTCTGTGTCAAACGGGAAGGCCTCTTCCCCTGGAAGGGGCTGGGGGGGCACGGACATGGGCCGGCCAGCCTGCCCGCTCACTCGCCCGGCCCCGGACTGCTCCCCCCGCCCGGCCCGGCCCGAATTCATCCTTGTCTTCCTCCCCCCACCCGCCAGGCCCCCGTTCCCCCTGCCCTATTCACACAGGCACCGACACAACTGCTCCTGTAACAGTGTAAACGTAAGAGAACCCCCCCCCGCACACACGCACACTACGACCCCCACCTCTTCCCTTCTCGTGCCCCCCCCACTCACAAAAGGAAAAAAGGAAGAAAAAAACACGCCCACCTCCATGTACCTGGGGACTGGAATTCAGTGCCAGCTTTCTGGATGTTAGCTGAACCGGGTCAGATGGCCAGGGGGGGGAGGCCCCTTTCCTCCCCGCTCCCCCCCCCCCACAGCAAGCAAGCGTGGCGGGGCCGGTCGTGCCAATCCCGGCCACGGCCGGCGCGCAGCGAGGCTCCTGGAAGCTCGGGACGCGGGCTGGGGCCCCTCAGAGGGAGCCGGGGGCGGGCGGGGGGGGCTCCCCCGACCCGCTGGGGAGTGGGGGCGGGTGCTGCCCCCCGCGGGGCGCCTGTCGCGAGGCGGCCGGCCGGATGAGCGGGGGCGGGGGCTGGTTGAGCGACAGTCTGGGCTGGAGGAAGCGGCCCTGCTGCAGCGGGGGGGGCTGGCGGTGCAGGCTGGGCGCCGTGGGGAGCGTGGGCCTCAGCAGGGGGGGCGGCTGGGAGAGGGCGGCCGGGGGCGGCCGGGGGGAGGCCGGGAGGGGCAGCGGCGGGGGCGGCGGGGGCGGCTGCTGCCGCTGCGGCTCCTGCGAGGACCGCGACACGGCCGTGATCTGCACCTGCAACGAGAGAGGGCGCCGCGTCAGGAGCGTGGAGGCGCCCGGGAGCCCCCCCGCGGCCCTCGGGGCCCCCCGCTCACCTCGTCCTCCTCCTCGCTGCTCGCCAGCGACGCGCTGGAGCTCTTGTGGTCCCGCGAAGGGGAGCTGCCCTGCGGGGCGGCCAGGCCCGCTCCCTCCTGCTCGGCCTCCCACTCCTGGAGAACCTCCTCCAGGTTGAACCGGCGCCTGTAGCTGACGAAGAAAGTCTTCACCTGGGCCACCGTCTTATTGCTGATCACCTCGGCAATGGCCTGGAAGTCTTTGCCGTATTTTCGGATAGCTGAACAGCACGGAAAAGACGCGTGGTTTGCGTAGTCCAGCAGTGACACCTAAGCCACTGCCCATGGCACCCGCCGGCACGTTCTACTCCCCACGCAGCTGCCGTGTGTAGAGCGTGGACGTGGCGTGTCGAAGGCCCGATCCACGCAGCAGAGAAACTGTCATGGGGCTGCCATTTACAAGCCGCGCTTTAGGCGGGAGGAAGCCTGTGTCCTGGCGCTCTATTCCAAAAGGACCGTTCCTTCTGAAGAAATGGGCAGAAGCCATGAATTCGTCGATGAAGACCCAGCTGCCTCCAGGCCGACCTCTAACCCCGCAGAGCCGGGGAGGCAGCCTGCCCGCACTCGCTCCTGCGGAAACCCTCCACCTCTCCGCCTCCTCGCCAGTGACCCCGCTCGGCCTTCCCCTCACCGAATCCTGGAGACTCACCCTGCACTGCCAGCAACTGCTCATCGGTCGTCCAGCGTGAATTGAACTTGATGTTTGTCTGCAAGAGAAGGCCGGGAGACGGCTGCGCTGCACGGGTGTCCCTTCATCTCGCCAAGCTCAGCGAAGAAGGCCAGCCTGCCCGCCTCTCCCTGCCCTGCGATGGATGCCACCTTTGCTCACCTCCGGCGGGCGCAGTTTGTCTATCCCTCCTTCTAACACCTGCTTTGTGCTGCTGTTGATTTGCTTGATGCTCTGAACCTAGCCCAGACAGAGGCCCAGAGGTCAGGAGTCAGGTGTTCCCCGTCCCTCCCACCTGGGGCAACGAGCCCGAGGAGCCCAAATCCTTTGGAGAAACTCATTTCCCAAAGCGAGGCTCGCCGCTGCTTCAGGGTGGGGTGGGGAAGGATCAGGGCTCCACCTGCCGCTTGAGGGAAACCAGCTGCGAGTCCAGGTGGCGCAGCGTGAGGGCGGCCATGTCGGGGCTGGCGGAGAGGCCGGTGATGTCCTCCTGCCTGAGGTACATGCCCTTTGGGGGGCGCCGACGGGCACGCAGGGGGTGGTGCCGATACTGTGACAGTTGTACTTCCTTCTTCACGGGCCCCGGTTTGTTCAGCGGTTTCTGGTAACTAGGCTGGGGAGGAAGAGGAGGCAGAGGGCGCTGAAGGATCACCTGCCCTTGCGTCTCCCACGCTGCTTCCCTGACAGGTTACAGCCATGGTCCCAGCTATGGTCACTCTTTGTTTCCCAGGCCGCCTGTTCCTGGGGTCAGGCGTCTCCCCCACAGTCTCCTTAGTGTATAGTCAGCGAGGAACAATTCTCCAAGGTCGCTTGCTACTGGCCAACGATTCCTCCACCCTGGTGAGTTCAGACATGCAGCTTCCCAAGCCATAGAAACTTGAGGGATTTTTTTTTTTAAAGAAGGCTGTCGGAATGCCAAAACCAGGCAGCCCATCTCAAACTTCTGCCACAGGATGGGGACTGGCCCAGACTCCCAACACCTCCAAGGTCTTGCGCTTGAATTGCGCTTTCTCACCAGGCCTGGCTGCCCCACAAAACTACCCAGGGAAGGTACAGGATGCACGTTTCTCCTGGCTTACCTTACCTCCCCAACTTTTAGGCTTGTTGGGGAGTCGTCACTTCTTACCTCCTTCTTGGGATCTAGGGCATCAAATTCACCCTCGCTAGCTTGCCGTGTTTCCTCCAGTTCATCGTTACTGTAGGGGAAATGCAGCAGCTGTTAGAAGACATCCCAGGTTCTTTTTCGGGTTTCCTCAAAATGGCATTTTTTGCATCCTCACTGCTCCATGGGGTGTTCTTGGACCCCAGGGCTATTCCCAGGCGGACTCTGAGCGCCTCTGGGTTTCAAGGGACCCCTGCCCTTGCGCCAGTCTCACCAACATATGTAATATCCCTCAGGAAACACCAGCTTCTGACTGGCCCCTACTTGTGCCCCCGGCTTCCCCGGGCAAAAGAAAGCTTCCGGTGCCAGAGGGAACCTTGGATCCTTGCGATGCGCTTGTAAAAAACATGCCCGTCCGCTCCAAAGCAGCATCTGAAGGGTCCCTTTGATTTTAGCGTCCAGCCTGCATCCGGCAAGCAAGGGAGCCACTTCCACGCTTGCCTGCAGGAGGCCTGCACTGGGTGCTCTGGGTGTTGGGGAGGAGGGCCCAGTGCTTCATTCTGCCTCTCCCGTGACTTGATGGAAGTCCTGCTGGACTGAGAGGCAATTTTTCTCACGGCGCTCGCCTCTGCCGCATTCCCTCCGCTGCAAACAAAATGCTCAGGCCACCTGCTCACCTGTCATCCTTCTCCTTCTTGCTGAGCAACTTCCGGGCTTGCCGGTCCATCACGCTCGTCCTGCTCCTTGTTTTCTTCCAGGAGTAGTAATACTTCACCAAGCTGGGAATCAGTTTATCAGGAAGCTGAGTGGGAGGCAGAGGAAGCGCAGTGAGTGGAAGAGCAGAGCCAGGGACGGCGGGCGTGCTGTGGAGCAAGGTGGTTCTAACAGGTATGTCGTTAAGCAACCTAGAGGACATGGGGCAGACCATTCTGGGGCAGAACCCAGGCCCTGGGGCTCGTGTGGCCCCAAGGCACGTGAACGGAAGGACGGGAAAGGGGGCCTGGGTCCCAATCCCACCCCCACGCCGTGTAGCTGCTGTGGCTGTCCTCTGCAGGGGAAAAGTGGGATGCTTTTGGCAAAAAGGTGGGCCGTGAAGGTGGGAAGCCGCGCTCTCGGAGGCTGGGCAACGTGGCAGTGGTTAGGGCCAGAAGGATCCAGCAGGCACAGTCCCGGAGTTCTGGTCTGATCTAGCAGGCGACCCACCAAGCCAGCTCAGTGCCAGTCCTTTAAGGTGCAAGGAGTAATTCCTGCAAGAACAGGCTTGGTCCCGGGCACCGGATGCCCCACTGCTCGCGGGAGTGCGACACGTACCATCTGCTGAATCCGAGCAAAACTCTTGCCGTGGAAGCTGAACGCTTGCTCGAAGAGGACTTTGTCCTCCACCGTCCACTCGTCCGGGAAGGGCGTGAAGTTGGCCAGGTCAGCCAAGGACTTTTCCACATCATGCTTGTGCCACAGCAGCATCCCCAGGGCCTGTTGGGAGAAGAGAAGGGCACGCAGGAGTGACTACCACCCCCCCAGACACACAGCACGTGCCCACAAGCCGGGAAGCTAGAGCTTCTCGACAACTGGAGCAGAGCCCTTCCCTGCAAAAGGGCCACTGAGGTGATGGCAAACGGGTCAGAGGCAAACGCAAATGGCCGTTTTTCTGCTCCCGGACCCTTCACGCCATCCTGCATTCAACTGGCCAACCAAGCTGCTGCCCCATGACTTTGCTGCAAGAGGAGGCCATGTTAGGTGTCCTCTCCACCCACGTCCTCTTCCGTCAGGCTTTGCTGGCCTCCGCTCGACGCCAGATGGAGTGCAGCATCCGATAAACCGATTCCTGCGGCCGCGTTTGTGCCGTTCGCGCTTCTCTTGCAGAATGGCTAGGATCGTGTTTTCTAGCTAGGTGGACTAGAAAACCGGAAGCTGGCTCTTGCCTTTACCTGCTCTATGTTGTAACCGTGCTTCTCCTTGGCCATGGCGATGTATTTGTCCACTAGAGGGGGAAAGAGGGAAGCATCAGGTGCTGGGGGGCGGGGGGGGCGACAGCAAACGCTTCTGAGCTGCTCCTGGCGCTGCTTCCCCTCAGTGGGCGGCTGGCATGGCTGGGAACGATCCGTTCCTCTCCTGCACCACCCCGAACCCCTTCTGTGCGGCTCTTGGCGGGGAGCCGCTCCTGATCGCTGTGGCCGGGAGCCCACCCAAGGCCGAGGACGTGGCTGAGCTCCAAGGCAGTCACCCAGGAGCGAGAGACTGGAGTTATGGGATAGCAGGGCCCGCGAGAGCCAAGGCTTGGCGTGGGTTTGGGGAGCGGGGTGGCCACGTCCCGCACGTAGGTGGATGTTCTCTGCGCGCAACAGACCGGAGCACCCTCGCCCCCTTGACGGCAGCGCTCCGTCCTCTGCACCCCTTCACAGAAGCAGAAGCGCTGCTGGGGGACCGAACCCCAACTTAGGGGCTCTGCCTGCTCCAGCCCCAGCTCAGCACCATCCCCCCCAGCCCCCAGAGCTGCCTGCACCAGCCAGATTAATAACGCAGAGAGCTGGAAGCAGCACACCAGTCGCACGGTAATTGCTTCTAGGAGTCCTGAGAGGGGGGAAAGGGGGAGCCGTCAATCAGCAGCTCTGCTACCAGCGGAAGGCGAATGAGCTCCCCGCCCCCACGCCCCTTGGAGCCAGGCTGGCCCTCGCTCGCTTCTGGACCCAGTTCAGCATCGCGGGGGAAAGGCGCCTCTGCAGGGAGCGTGGCCCGAGGAGAACCGCTCCACGGCGCGTGCAGGGCCCATCAGCCACCGCTCTGGCCCTGCCTTGCTGCTCTCGACACAATGGCGGGGAAGAGCGACTCACACTTGGCATCCGAGACACAATGATTGGGAGACCAGACAAGCATCCCTTTCAGCTCCTTGTTGCTGTAGCGAGCCGGGCTCTCTGGATGGCAAAGAGGAGAACAAGGGCTGTCGGAGGGCTCCCTGAGGCGCCCGGCCGCCACGTGGGGCCCCCAGCCCAAGGAGGGGAGAGGAGGGGCATTCCGGCATGGAAGCCAGCAAGGGGCTCGGCGCACGCACCAGCCTGGGCCCTCCCACTGCCCTTAACCCCGGCCAGCATCCCCGGCTCTTCCAGTTCGGTCCCCTCTCACTCTCCACCGCCTCCTGCATTTCCTGGCTGGTCACCAGCTCCACCCAATGATCTCCTTTTTCAGAGGAACCTCCTCCCCCATCATAAATGGCTACTGAGCAGGGGCCTCTCCACACACCCAGAATCCAAGGCAGGCAAAGCCTCCAAGCCCAAAACGTGCGGAAGCACCCACGATTTCGTCTTAGAAAAGAACAGCTGCGTTAAAGCGTCAGGCTGCTTGAAGTGCCAGGGTCAAGAAAGGCACCTGGGGGGGGGGGAGTGGGCCATGGGTGCCCATCGCTCCTTGGGAGCAAACGGTCTACTTCCCGTTGGGAAGAAGGAAGATGTGGACTCAAACCCATCCGGCCTTGACTTGAAGGGGCCGCGGAGCTCCCTGCATCTCTCAGCCCGATTCACATCTCCCCCTGCCTCCTGCCATGTCTTTTACCTGGTTTGCACTCTGGGATCACAGCTTGGTAATCTGCGCCCACACGGATCATGCTGTCTGCAAGGGAAAAAGAGAGACAAGCTGCAAGGAGCACCAGTCGCTGCGGCCAGCAGAGACTAGCGAGGGCAAAGACTCGCAAACCCTTCAGCAAGAAAAGGCGCTGGGGCATCCTGGGTCCCAGGCTCCAGTTTGGCACCGGAACAAGCCAGCGGGTCACTTGTGTTCGCTCCTGCCAGCCATGCACACCCAGAGAAATTCCCCGGAGATTGTGGGCATACCAGGAAGGGGAAGTGACGGCTCAGCGGCCCACTACAGCTGCAGATCCGTCGATGCGCCGTTTGCACTGGGAGGGCCAGTAGCTGAGACAGCCCTGCTCCTGCCTGTGCGTCTCCTGCTTCAGGGACTGCAGCGCAGCTGGTGTGTTCCCACTTCTACTTCCCTGCTGCCCCACTTCATCCCTCGAGGGGGTGACTGTGTGGCCAGGGGCCCCCAGTCGGAACGGCCAATCGGGTGAGCCGCTGCAGCCTCCCAGGATGGAGCGGGGAACACTCCACACAAGCGGCCGGCGCATCCCGTCCCTGCCCCCCGCCCGCCCCTCAGGAGGCAGTTCTCCTCAAGTTCCCTGCAGGGAAACCTCAAGAGCGGAGGGGCAGCCGGGCAGGCACCGTTTTCACTGTGTTTGGACAGCCTCCTCCCTCTCCCCCCCACTCTCCAGCTCCTGTTCCTTAAAAAACAAAACAGAAGCCACCCAACCTACCAAGCAGCTGCTGAGCACAGGCAAAATCTGGAAACATTTAGCCCGCGTCATGCCAAGGAGCTCCCGAGCTTTTGCTTTCTGGCACCGGGGCCAAGAAACACATGCTGGGCTGGGGGCTGCATCAGAGCCATTCCGGGACTCTTCCACAGCCTGCCAGCTTTTTCATTTTTTTTCCGGTGGATCCTCGGGTGGCCACTGGATTGGCATTCTAGACCCAGATTTACGGCACGGCGCTCCCTGCCTAGGGGGCGCCAGCTTCCCCTTCCTCGGGACCCACAGAGCCTGACAGGGCAAGCGGGGTGGTGTCGGAGGAGCCGGGGCGGGGGTCCCCGGCAGACTCAGAGGCGCGCGGACGGCACCTGGGAGAAGCAGATGGCGTGGGACCACACGCTGCTCCCATCGCCCGGGCGAGTGCCGGGAAGCACGCGAGTCGGCAGGCCCATCCCGCAGCCCCAGCAAGCTGGCACCAGGACTCCGGGCGGATCCGTGGCTGTCAGTATTGTGCTCGGGGGGGGGTGCACCTTGTAATGCAGGTGGGCTCTCGAAGTACCTCCTTTCCCAGGCGCATGTTTGAGGGGCCCGAGGTAACTTCCTCGCCTGCCTCTTCATAGCCAGATGGGCACCGAACTCTCCCCTCCAGCCGCTTCTGTCCCTCCCAAACCAGATTCCAAGCTGCAGGTGCAGGCACAGGAGTGTGGGGTCCTTTGGGCTCCTTCCACAAGCACATCCCCTGCGTGGGGGGGGGCATATCTCCTCACACATCAGGAAGGAGCGGGAGGGGAAACCTAACAAAGCCAGGGGTGCTCAGGAAGCCATAACAGAGTTCAGAGGGAGGAGAGGAGAGGAGAGGGATCCGGGGACAATAAAGCAGTGAGCTCAGACCAGAGCCAGCATCCTAATCCCAGGCCTTTGTTAACCTGGTGGAGGGGCGGAAAAGAGGGGGAGGCCAGTGCCCCAGGAGCGCTTAGCGGCGCCACGCTTTGGAGGGCTGACCACAGAAGGCAAAGGAGGTCAGATACAAGATAGGAGGAAAATTACTTGAGTGTGGCGAACCTAGGGAGGATTAGACGGGGGGGGGGGCGGTGGCATGGACACTCTCTCTTGACCGAGGTATTTTGGCACCATCTCTTCATTTTATTTAGAGGTCCCAGGCAACAAACAGGGCACGGGCCTGGGCTGGCACTTGGGAAGCCCAGGGGGTTAAGTCCATCGAGCGACATCCCGTCAGATGGCTCCTTCCCGAGCCCTTCAACTCACTGGGGCCTATTCTTGCTCCCACGATTCATCTTTTGTGGCATCGCGTCGCTTCGCCCAAGGGGGTCATCAGCTCTTTCCTTAATGATCGGGGTCTCTCTCTCTCTCGCTCTCGGATGACTCTCTTGCTCCTCCCCTCCCCCCAGACCTCCGTTGCTTTGCGAGCGACTTTTGGAAATGCGCCCCGCAGAGACGCGATTCCTGGAGCGATGCCCCGCGCGCGCGCGCGACCCCCGGGCCGCGATTCCTCCCAGCTGTCCCCACCCCGGGGGCATTTGTCAACCCGGCGCTTGTCCTCCCTCGCCCAGCTCGCCTCGCGGCCAGCAGAGGGCAGGCCGAGCTTCCCGGAGGCCTTCCCCCTCTCCCGGGAAGAGGCGAGCCGGGCCCCTCGGTGTCAGGCGCCCGGCGCCCTCCGCTCCAGCGCCGCGAGGGGCTCCGCAACTCTTTGTTTCCCGCGCAGCGCGGGGCACCCTCGGCTCGCCTCGGAGCGCAGCGCAGCGCAGCGCGCAGCCCCGCGACCCACGGCCGCCATGGGCTCGGCTCCTCCCACCCTGGACCACAATGAAGTCGCGGCGAAGGGGCGCCCGGAGGAACTCTCCGTGCGCGCACCGCGGCGCGGCGCGGCTTACCGTGCGAGTGCTCCTCCTCGCTGCTGTCATCCTCCGAGTTCTGGTGCCCGCCGTTGCTTGCTGACTTGGAGCGACTTCTGGACAAGATCCCCGATTTTTCCATTACGGAAGGCATCTTCCAAGTCCCCGAGGACCGCGGCGGCTCTCGCTTCCCCTCCCAGCTTCTGCACCTCTCCCGGGAAACTCGAATACTGACTTTTATATCTTTATTTCTCTCTCTCGCGGCCACGATGTCTCCCCGCCCCCTGTCCCTACCTCCAACTTTAACACATCAGGCGGAGAGCTGGAATACCCTTGGCGAAATCCATGACCGGGGAAGTCGGGGTCAGTCGCGGACGCTGCGCGCGGGGGGCAGAGGAGAAGAGCTCGGGGCGCCTCTCCCGCGGCGAGAGCGCCTCTCTCACCCCCAAGTCCCCGCAAACTTCCTCGCAGGGGGCATGGGGAGCGGGAAGAAACTTGCGGTGGAAGTTGCGCGGGGGGCGCGCGCGGGGGGGCGCAGCCGGAGCACCTGGGCGGGGGCGGCGGGCGCCCATCAGGCGAACTTCCCCAGCGCGCCGCTGCCGCGGGCGAGCGCCCCGAGGGCTCCGGGCTGCGAAGAGAAGAGGGAAGGGGGAGACATCACCGCCGCGACCCCGCGGAGCCGCCCCGGGGGCCCCCCGGGGAGGTCCGGCCCGCCTCCCTGCTGCCCCGCGGATGCCGCCCCGGGCGCGCAGAGAGCGCGCCGCGCCGGAGCCCCCGGTGTCCCCCTGGCGAGGCGCAGAAGGGCCGGCAGGAGCGCCGCCCCGCTCGAGGCATGCGAGGGACTTGGCGGAAAAGTTGCGCGAGGCGGGCCGTCCGCAGGCGCCGCCGCCGCCGCCGCCGCCCGCCGCCCGCTCCCGCCCGCGCACACAATGAGCCGTGGCTGCCTCCGCTCCGGCCCTGCCGCCGCCGCCGCCGCCGCCGCGCCGCTGCCGTGCGAAAGTAGTTCCAGTCCCCTGCCTCAGCACCTCCCTCAGACCCTTCCGCCTGCCTGCACATCTGGCCAGAGGGAGGCACGCGGGGGCAAGAGGCGCGCGGCGAGGGGCGGGCGGAGGCCAGATGTGCTGCGCCGCGAGGGGAAGGTCAGGCGCGGGGAAGGGGCGCGGGCGGCTCCTGGGGCGCGAGTCCCTTCCCCGCGCTGCCTCGCCGGCGGGGAGGCGGGCGGGCAGGCAGGCAGGCAGCCCTCCTCCGGGAGCGCAGCGGAGAAGGTGCCCAGGGATGCTGAGCTTCAGGTCCCCACAGGAGGCACGTGGGACGGGCAGCCCTCCCCCTCCGGCTCCGGCTCCTGCTCCCGGCTGGCTCCTCTCACTCGCTCCCCAGCCAGAAGAAAGAGGCTGCTCGACAGCAGCCCCGCTTCCACCCTGCGGCCACCGAAAACCCCCGTGCAATCATCCGGCATCTGCCCAATTTTAGCTGGCGGTCCTTTTGTGCTGGCCACGCTCGGCGCTCTCTGCTGATAATGGGGAAACCGCTCCGGAGAGAGCGTGCAAACCCCACATGGGATCGGCCTAGCGCCTCATCACAGCTATCGAGGCTGAGCGGCTTTTTATAGGAGAGCTCAGATCTGAACTCTGGGTGTTTGGGTGCCTGAGGCGGAAAATCCAAATGAATCACACATGCTCGCTCGCTCGCTCTGCACAAATATCATCGAGGAGAATGGGAGGTGTGGGCCGTGGCGCACTCCCGTTCGTTCTGGTGGCGCTTGTGCAAGAGCACTTCCAGAGGCCATGTGCTTGCAGGTCAGCTTGGAATATTTTCCCCTCCACTGCCCCAAAATGGACTGCCCAAGGGAGTCTCTTAACCCCAATTTCTGTGAAAATTCCGCCCAGGAATCTTAGACATGCAGAAGAATTAAATGTCAGTTCTACCAGAAAGTTTGAAGGACGCATGGCATTCGTGGTATGTTTGTCCATTTTCTGTCGGTGATTCCTCACGCATAGATACAGAGGTATCACTGAAAACAGACAGCGAGACCCTCTTGCTGTTTAGATCTTTTCTACAATCCATGAGTGAAAAAGAGCAATTTGAAAATATAGCTAAATTGGTAATCTTCCCTACTGTAGGAGTAATATTAAATGGATTTACAAGGGAAATAAAACAGGGGCTCAGGCCAGTCTTCTGTGGGGGTGTCATTTCAAATTTCAGCATGTCAGGGAAGGGGTGATCTAACAGGGTCCAAAGGCTTGTTCCCAGAAACATTCAGGATTTAACTGACTGGTAGGAACTTGGGTAGCAGGGCAGTCCCACATCTGCCTGCTCAGAAGCAGCTGTTATGTTTTCTGGAACCCTTTACTCCTGGTTAGCGTGCGTAGGACGGCGGTACCAGAACATTAAGGGCACAGTCCTGGACAGGCGGCTGCCTGGGAGATGCTGGCGTTGTTGGACTCATTTCTGTCCAAACCCACAGCCTGCACCCTTAAATTATTTCTTCATATCCCTATAAATCTCACAGCAATCCCCCACGAGGCGTTCTCTTCCCTCATTCCCTTTTTGTCTCCCGGAAGCAGAAACGGAGGTCTTCGCCGACGTATGTGGGGCAGAGGTCCACCAAATTGCTGGAGAACGGCTGAGCCGAGCCCATGGAAGGGAGGAGGAGGAGGACCGTGCAGGAGGCCTGAGATGGGAGCCCCAGGAAGGGGGGTCTTCCGACAGAGCACAAGCAAACCTGTGAGAACCAGCTTTTCCTATCCCCGCCCCTCCTCCATATCCTTTCAGCTTTGTTTACCCAATTACCTGCCAGTGGCCCAGTAAATACCAACCTGATTTCCCCTACGCTGCTTTTCTCCATCTATCCCAGCCTTCCTTAAAACCCTCTGATATTTCCCCCCCTTTCCGCATGATTATCTGTGCTCTGTCTGTTTTAAAACTCTGCTTCTGCCTACAGCAACTCTGGCCGATTCCTATAGAAATTCACTTTGTCGTCCCCTTCCGCTCAAGCCCGCTCTCTCTTTTGGTGGTTTCCAATCTTCTCTTTTTCTGTTTCATAAATACCAGGCTCTCTATTTCCTGTCATTTTGCTCGCAGTAGGATTCACCGCGGGAATAGACTACCGGCCTCCTAGGCAGCCAAACGGATGATTCAGGAGGGTGAAAAAAATCTCATGGAGATTTGAAACCACACGGCTGATGCCAAAGATGGATTTTCAGCCGGGCCATAAAACAAAAGGCAGCTGTGAGGACAGCTGTGGGTGGCGGGGAGACAAGACAGGTGACAAGGCAGCTCTGGGTGCAAAGCCTTGGCGGGCTCTGGGTGCAAAGCCTTGGCGGGCTCTGGGTGCAAAGCCTTGGCGCTGCCGACGTGTCAGAGAAACTCCAGACCGGAGGGAGCGGGTCGTGGGGAAGCGTCGTCCCTGACCCTCCTGCTTGCAGAGGGGAGGAAGCCGAGGAGAGTTTTGGAGGGAATTCTGTTTGTTCGCAGGCTCTTTGTAGAAGGCCCTTTGATGTCAAAGGAGCCGAGCTCCTAGGCTGGCTTCCAGCTGTGTGCACGGAGGTGGTGAGCAGCTCCGTGGGGGAAGTGGTTGTGCTGGCAGGAAACAAGGACCCTGGGAGCTGAGGCCATCCACCCCATCTAGCTGGAGTCTTGTTTGTTTCCTGGTCAATTAGCCGGAATGGAATGCAGGGGTCAGGTTTTGGGCGCCTATCTTGGGCGCCTGTGCGAGCGAGGGCGTTTGCTCCGGTGCTGCCTGTGCTTTGGGTCCTCGCGTCTTCCGCTCCGTTGTAGCGTTGGGTTTGGTTGGGATCGTTCGGGTTTGGATAAGGCTTGAGAAGACGGGGACTGGCCTGCACTGGGGGGCTGGGGAGGAGCGGCTTCATAATTGATCCTCCTGGAGGGAGGCTGGTCCCTCAACGCTGAAGCCGTTTTTTCCCTGCACAAAAGAAGGGGACCTCGCGAGGGGAGGCAGAAGCACAGCTCTCTCTCGTGCCTTCTGAAGGGACAAAACCTCAAAGCTCATTAGGATGTGTGCTGATATTCCCAGATGGAGATCAAAGTCTGAGAATCTGCTTTTCCCAAGTCCACCTGGTGGATCCATGGCTCTTCAGCCGTCCTCAGGGACAGCTTCTGTCACCACAGAATGGAGTGTGGGTGGGTGTGTTTAGTGTGCGGAAGTTTGACGAGGCGGATCAAATGCGAATGTGGAAGGGTGAAATATAGAAAACTGTAAAGCACAACTGTATGTTTATATATACACCTGGTCACCGTTCTGCACAGAGCGAAATGAACGCTTCGTGCAAACCTAACGCCACAAGTCCCTTCAGCACTGCAGTGTGGGTTTGCCACTGGGAGCAGCTACACAATGGAGAAAAGGCAGAATATTTCAGCCTGGACTATGCTGGGAAGACACGTTTTTTTAGGGTAGGCACAGGTGAAATCCATTGGTACAGGCAGCCGCCGGGGGGAACTTGCTCCTGTAGCAAGGACTGAATGAACAGAATCCTCTAACGGGAATGCCGTGCACCACAAGAGCCATGAAAGAGGCAAATGGATCGCTGAGACACTGAAAGGGAGAGAGAAAATTCCCAGCAGCCGCTGGCCGACCCGCACCCTCTTCCCTCTGTGCACGCACGTGTGCCTTGACACGGCTGCCAGATTCTCTCTCTCTCTGCCTCCGTCCTGAAATCGCAAGAGTTACGCAGGGTGACCTCTCCTGACTCACCGATCCTGAGGAAACGCTTCCCCGAGAAAGAGCACGCGGTTCTCCTCAGCCGCATCTATGTTCATTGCTATGCATAAACGCAAAGTGCAGAAAGATGATTTAATAGAAATAGAGCAGGCTTCGCCATAGCATGAAGGCTGTGGTCAGAGATCTGCCTGGCTTGCTCGGTTGGCTTCCGGGCGCTAAAGATGGGCAGCCTCCCAGGCATTTGCTCTCGCTGCTGATGGCGTGTTCTCCTTCAGCCCTTCAAATAGTGACAGACACGGCCCTTGGTAGCCTTCGAACAGAGGACTGTCCTCTCTGAAACCCTGTAACAAAGACTTCTGCCCATATTCAGTGAGTTCTCTCCAAGAATCCCCTCCCTGCCTCCCTCCCTCTCATCCAACCAGCCGTCCAGCCATCGCCTCCAGCCGCACCAGTCCTGCCCTGTCCAAAGCATGCGA